TAGGCAGAGCACAGACTGGGGCCCGGGCAGTACTAAGAATTCATAAATTAGACTCAGGAGACCCCCTTAACTCCATCTTCTGTGTCTTTGAGGCACTATGAATCCTGCTATAAATCACAGGCACGGGAATGAGGGTGGGAGCAGTGCTTTGGCCCTGTATCCAGAGTCTAGCTCCACCGGCAGCAATGATGTTTATTACACACTACATGACACTGGCAGTAAGTGAAGCAGCTACCCACATAAAATGGAAAAAAATCAATAGGCATGTCCATATACCCCTCAGAGCAGTTCTTAATTTAAATATTCACTATAATTGGCCACATGGGAAGGCTGTAGATTAAATGAACACATAAGAAAGAACACATAGAAAGAACACATGCTATGTATAGCTGCATGTCAATATAGCTTTAAGTCATTGAGGTGGGTGTCATTTGTGCAAAGGGTTTTAAAAATAGTAGTGCTGGTAGTAGTGCAAAATCATTTTGGAAAAATTACTTATTGTGATTTTTTTTTTTTGCATTGTATTTACATTTGTGATATTAAAAGGAAAAGAAAAATGGAATATGAATTGCCATACAGGAATGTAATGCATTTCTGAATAGGCCTGTCATCAAAATTACTATATTGACTTATTGTTCAATAGCTGGAACAATACTTTTTAAGCTTTAAGATTTGAGCTGTAGCGGGTTGAATAACTAACTTCTAACTCATTATAGACACTAACTATACTTGCACCTCATGTTTTTTTAACAATATGGTACATTTAGAATTGTTTTTTGGGAGGGATAATCAATTAGTTTCAATATCATTGTTTAGATCTATATTTCCTTGAGATGTATTATCGTTACAGGCCTATTTCTAAACATGTTTGTAAAGGTCCAAACTTCAGGATAAGCAGCTTTTATACAGAAAAAAACACTATGTAGAAGGGATATTTTGTTATTTGCATAGCACATTATATTACCTAAATAATTGCAGTTTTTGTTATTTGCCAATTCTACTGATTCAAATTTCAATAAATGTTTTAATTACAACCACTACATCTTAATTCACTTAATACTGTCTTTTATCTTAAGCAGTGTCTCCTCTCTACCTCACTGCAGCACTATTCCAGCTTTTACAAGTATTTTTTGGATCACCAAAAGCAGTAGGTGGCGGTGCGCGTGACATATGGGACCATCAAGAGCCCTGGAGGTTACATGCAGACAATGCAGCACAGTCTAAGTGGAATAAAAGACCTGCCTTTTGAGCCCATATGCTGCAAGGCTGTGGGTTTTTCTTTGCAGGCTGCTCTTATGAAATGAGAAAATAAAAATGAAGAAAAATATAAAATGGGTCAGCTCTGGGCATCTATTTAGAAGCATCTCTTGGTTAGTTTTAGGCCTTCAGCAAACCAACATGACATGGACAGGAGAGGATGATTTTGTATAGAGCAGAATTTTCCATTATAAAGCAATTAGGCTGAAAAAAAAAAAAAAGTCAAAAACAACAAAATAATTACAACAGCCGTTCATTTAGTCAATTAATTGTTCAATTGCATCTTAGTTGACCAACATTTGTATTAGTCAAGTAAACATTTTGTTTAGATTATAATATGGGACAAGCACATGAAAGATTAGTTGAATATTGTGTATTTATGTAAAAAGTCAGGTTACCGTACACTCATGATTCCCAAAATTGAATTTGTCTTTATATAAATACATGTTTTTCTAGTACTTTTCTCTGCATAAATCTTTACATGAACTTCCATGCAGTTGTAGTCTTGTGAGTGCAGTTTGGGTCCGATATTTTTGGAGCTTTTGCCACGATGATCGATTGGCAGGACATGTCTTTAGTCGATCAAAAATGAGTTTAGTCCATCAAGAAGATACCAAACACAAGACTCCATAAGATTAGACCCTTATATCAAACCGTATGAGAAGTAACAACAGAAGTAATGAAGATGAATTTTGTTTGCGTAAGGGACCATTTACCAATTAACTGACTATACAACTAAAGGCCTACAGCCCTACTAAAGACTTGTAACTGGCCAAGGATCTTCACAATGCATTCTCCAGATGATAAATGAACTATAGCAAGAATATGGTATCCCTGTTGGGTGGCAGGGCGGTGGAGCACAGAGGAAATGTAGCCAGGGTTGGATGGGTTGTGGGGATGTTTTATGTATGAGATTCAGCTTCTCATTCCTAATAGTTCATTATCAGCTTTTTAACTGCAATGTCTGCAGCCATTGTCTGTCAGTAAAAGCATGTGATTTGAAGCAGTGTTCAGACTTTGGAGGAATAAAGTGAAATATTTTGTTATTACATGTCACAAAAGTCTGATTTTCTTTATGTACAGGAAATGAATACTGAAAGCTATTTTCTAATCAATCTAATCTATCTATCTAATCAATAGAAAAAACATGATCTATCAATAAGAGAGAAATCATATTTTTTCTGTAATATCACCCAACACTACCTCTTTCTAAAGGTCAAATCTCGCATCTAATTGACAAAACACATGTAATATAATAGATTAAAAATGCAGCAAATCTCCTCCCACTTCCAGAAAATACAACATGACAACCTGAAGACTAATGAAGCTCTGTTGAAAATTAGAAGATGTGGACTGCCTCATTAATTGCTTTACTGTGCTAATCATATTGACTGAGTGTAGGACCACGGCAGGCTGCGACATTTCCAGGTACTAGATGGACTGTAGCTGTTTGGAGCCTGCTGTGTGGCCCCTTTGAAAAGGACAATAATGCAGCAGGAATAGGCCATTTCACAGAGATTTTATCACATTAATGCCAATGCTAAAATACACTTGTATTGTGAATGTGTTCATTGTCAAGCATCATTTTGCATGCAATAAAAGAGCATCATTTAACCACCAGGCAATAACAGAAATGACTGGTTTTGCTTTCCTGTGAGAAATAAGGAAGATCATTATAATATTTGATAAGTTTAATGATTTGGCAAAATGAAAATAGTTTTATAGCTTAGGTCAATTTAGCACCTGTGAAAGTTTGAATGATGAAGTAATTTATATGAAGCAAAGCAACAGGGAGCATATAATCTAAGGCTGATTGCACATTTGCAAAATACAGCACAACAGAACTGGAAATAAACCCTGAACTACTACTGAACTAGACTAGGACTAAACCATGACTTGAACAGAACCAATCCATTTCTACAGCATTCTACTGAACCAGGACCAAACCAGGACCTAACCAGGACCTAACCAGCTATCTTGTAATCGATATATGGCTAAAAAATTATGCATTTACATTCATATTAAATGTACATCAGCATGTGAACTTGATTGCATAATTTATTCCATTGCCATGAAAGTTAGGAGATTCACTCAGTTAATTCAAGAACTGTTACAGAAGCTAAATAATTAAGTACCTGTAACCTAAAGAAATACACGCTATAAAGAAAGGAATTAATAACATTAACAAAAACATGTACCTGACATTCTATGTAGAATGAATATATATATATATATATATATATATATATATATATATATATATATATATATATATATATATATATATATATATATATATATATAAAGCTATTCCACTGAGAACAAATCTTTAGTACAGGGATAATCAATCATACAGCGCAGTCTCTTTGTCACTGCATAGATCCTCACTCCTCATTGAATGAAAACAAAAGGAAAAATCTCTACATGCAACAATAGATGTGAAAAAACGCATTATTTCTGAACCAGGTTGCTGCTCCGTGAAAGTCAGTACGGGACAGAGAGGCAGGCAGCAGTAGTGGACATCAATAGGGTTACACCGCAATGCACAGGCGGTCCAGTCCTGTCCAGCGAATCATGGATAAATTGACCAAAAGTCTAATTTGGAGTAAAACATCGGTATCTTTTGTCTTTTGTGACTTTCATATAAAAATGCATGCGTGCAGTGAATAGAAAGTTGAATATATTATGAACTGTAGGACGGTGCAAACCAAGAATAGCGTCCAAATGCAAATAAAAAATATAAAAGAGTGAATGAAAAAATGTTACTAAAGACATACCAGCTCTGTAGTCATGTTCTGTTGAGTTGTAGCGATCATTTTTAGTCCGTTTCACAGCTTGAAGCCAGAAGAGTACCGCTATTGCTGTTTTCACCTGCTCTGCTCCTTCGCTCCGCAAGTTTCCCACACGGGGCTCTCTCTTCTCTTCTCTGGGTTTCCCTCCTTCCTCTCCTCTCCTCTCCTCCTCCCTCTCTCTCTGTGTAATTCACAAGACCATCAGTCATCCATCTGTCTGCTTTCAAACTGCTTAACGCACAAATTATCGATTGTTCGAAGATTAATCGGTTTGCAATTAATCCGAAAATTCGTCATCCACTTGATGCATAGTGGTAATATATTTCCCATTTAAATCCACCGTGCTAAATTAGATATTACAATTCAAAACCGCCCATAGGCATCTTGTTAAATTATAATATTTCATTCTTAATCTTCATTTAGATAGTCTATTAAATGGAGTAGAAACATTAAATAGCCAATCAATGCAGTTTAATCTTGTTTAATATTGTAATTCGTTAATTTATGCACAAGTAGTCTTAATTTAAAACATATTCATAATTTACACTCCCGGTTTGCACAAAGCCAACTATTCAAACCTCTCTGCAGAATGAAGCCAATCGTGTGGTCGTTATTTTTCCACTTACAATTCGGAAATATTTAGGCTTCTCAGTGACTTACGGTCGCCGTTGGCTGCTGGTGATTTTATGTTGTAGGATTTTTACCGGATATGGAAAGTTATACCTCCGTTTTAATGATTTAGTCTTACGTATAGGTATTGGTGTTGCACTCGAATGTTAAAATTAATCTTCAAACTATAAAGATAATGGGTTTAGTTTAGTTTAATTCACCAAGGTACACATTCTTTACACTTTTACTGTGAAGAGCCGTGTTAGTGACTTCCTGCAGCGACGTGAGTTTGATACATCACGTTCCTCTCCGTTCATTGGCTAAAAGCAAAATTTGAAATGCGTGGCGGTCCGGTTGGTGCGGAAACCAAAGGATGCGGACAAAGGCTCCACTTGTTATCGGTAACAAGAGTCTCTAAACAAGTTTTATCCACGATATAACGAGGCAGGATCCAGGCAGACGTAACGTTGTTAAACTAAACGGTAAGTGCAAATTACTTTGTTTACTTTTGCTACTTACTACGGAGTAAATTCAGTTGTGAAACGTTAGGGAGCGTGTGCTAACGGTACTGTATCAAGCTAATAACACAATCTAAAGCTCGTTTTTACAAGTTAAGTATTAAGTTTTATTCATAGGTTGATGAAATTACATAAATGTTGTAAGGCAATGTTAACAAAACACACTGTGAAATGAACACCTCCGTTTATTATGTTAAAATGGTAGAAAACGAATGCCTTCTATCGGTAACCATTCTCATCTCGATCTTTTGTGGTCTTTAGAAACAGTGAGGTACGTTAATGTTCATGTGCAATAACTTATGGTTAACTTACTGCAAAAGATCAAGCAGTAGCGTTATTTGACTGATTATTTTTTGTCGATGTTGCTTGGATTTCGGGCCGTTGTCGACTAGACATGCTCTGTGCATCGACTAAAGGAGGGCGTGGGATGGTGAAGCTCTCAGAATTATTGGCTCTCTTTCAAAACTACAATTCGTACAGTTGATCGGCACAATTTACAAAAGGTTCAGTCACTCCAGCAACTCCAGCAAACTCATTAGTTACATACTCCTTTCTGCTGTGGTCTATAATTGGTCAGCTAATATAAACTCACTAAAAGACATTGATGATTAATCAACTGTAGTCCTTTATCTTATATTTGACCACGTCCTATATCACCATCCACATTAATTTTTTATTAATCACCAGCTGGAGGTCTCTAAAATAACCCAATGTCCACTTTTCGGTAGATCTGTCACCATGGATAATGCTCTGGGCAACCTCCAGAGCTTATATGAAAAGCTCCTCACTCAGGTGGACGTGCTGAATGAGAGCATTGAGCCCAGTAAGTACTTTCAGTTTCATCTTTGACATTTACAGAAAGGTATATAACAAGACTCCAGTTTATATGATATAATCCAAATACTCCTCATCCTCCAGGCTTCATCCAGATGGCCCTAAACTTCGATGACTGCCGTCGTAATTGGCTGAGGGCTGAGCAGGACCTTGGGTCATGCAAAGAGATGCTCACCAAAACAGAGACCGAACGAGGAGCCCTGGAGGTTAAACTGAAACACGCTCGGAACCAGGTGGATGTAGAGATCCGGCGCAGACAAAAGGCTGAAGCTGACTGTGAGAAATTGGTATGTAACATCAGACGTCATTCTGTATAAGTATGAAAAGGATGAGTTCACATACATGTGTATAAATACAGTTCTAATATAGTGCACTATTTGTCTCCCTTCTTTGTACAGGATCGCCAAATCCAGTTGATCCGAGAACTTCTCATCAGTGAAGGTTCCTCCAGTATCCAGTTTAGTGCAGAACAGCGCTCAGCCTTGGCTTTCCTCAATACGAACAACCAGGCAGCATCTAATCTCAATACAAGCCGCAGGTAAGCAAATGTTTCGGACATTAAAATTAAATTAATATTTCTTTTGGTATATTTAGGATTATTTGATTAGAACTGACACGTGCTCCATTTTCCTACAGACTTCAGACAATAGATGAATCAGCCTCCATTTTATCAGACATTAGCTATGATAAAACGGACGATTCTCTGGTAAGTTTTTTTCACCTTCAGTTATCTAAACAATCAGCTGTTCAGGACTTTTATATAACTCATGATGTGTATCTGACAGGACTGGGATGCTTCTACTGTGAGAACAGTGAGGCTCAAAAAGAGAGAGAAACGTGTAAGTACAAGACCTAAATGCAAAATGAAAAACACAGTAACTTATAAGTTACTGGTACTTGCATACATACAAACATACTTACTTTTGTGCCTTTTTAAGCAAGACATTTCTCCAACTTGGTGAAACCTATCTTAAAAATATCTCTTGTCAGTTGGGCTAGGGCAGCTGTGACTTCAGAGTGCTCCTTCATTGAGTGTGATTGTGGAGTGAATAAAATCAAAATTTACTGTTAGACTTGTATTAAGTTCATCCAATACATTTTACGAAGCCATATTTTTATTATTTCAGCGCTCCTCCAGACATCACATTGATGGACCTCCAAATGCCTCCAAGCGGTCTCGATCAACTGGAAAAACCTCAGGAGTGGTAAGAATTTTTAAATATTTTATTACTTTACTGCTATTTGTTTGGAGAATACACAATTCTACTTTAAACATTTTTAACTTTTTGTGTTTGTGATTAGGGAAATGAGACACTGGTGACAAAGACCACTGTGTTAGTTCCAGGCAATGGAGGGCCAGTCGAGGCCATTTCCACCATTGAGACTATGCCCTACTGGACTCGCAGCCGCAGAAGGACTGGTAATAATGACAGTCTTTATTGATTTACAGTACAAGGGGAATTAGTTAAAAAATACAACATAAAACCTATTAACATTACATGGCAAATTATAGCACTGAAATTAAAAGTGGTAAAAAAAATTACCATTTATTCTGAGTAAAATAAAATTGGTGGATTTAACCATACAATGTAAGAAGTTAGGTAAGGAAATGAATGGGGTCTAAGATTCAGATTTACACAAGGGAGATTATGGTGACATGTGTACTTTTAGAGTTTGTATAAGATTAAATAATACAAATTAAAATTACTATAGGTAATATTAGTGACATTTTATAATTTCATCAATATTGTATCTGTCTGAAAATGAGGGTCCCTATTTAAACAAAAAAAGAGATCTACAGAATGTGCAAATATAAAATAGGCAAATTGAATATATTGTTCAAGTTTAGTTTGAGAAGTTGCATATAACTGTAATCTTTCTTATTTTCACAGCTGCAATGGAGTGGGATTCTGAATCTGTCAAATCTGAGGATGTGTTTAAGCAGCCAAGCCTCCCTGAGGGGGAGATGAAGACTCACCCAAGCACTCCCCAGAACAATGGAGGTGTGCGCCTTCATGAGTTTACTTCCAAAACTGTAAGTCGATTTTGTGGAGTAACCAGATTATATACAGAGCAAGGGGAAAATATCTCAAAATCTAATAAAACAGTCAAGATTTAGCTCAGTCAAAATTCATCATTGAGAAAAAATTCATTGAATCAGAAATTATCAAACCTACATGAGCGACAGTGAGTGGGAATAAGTTTGCAAGGCAAGTTTTTAGTTATTCAATAGTGTCTGACTGAACAGGGCATTCAAATACACACAATAAAATGATTTTTATTTATTTATTTTTTACTTGAAACTGTTTGCAAATACTTTCACATGAACTTTAACTCACTCAAAAATAAAGATATTAATGTGTCTATATCCACATATACCAATTATAAATCAGAATATTAAAATTGTTAAAATATGTACACAGCACTAAAGATTAGGCTCTTCCACTTTTACTGAACTACTGGTGTTTTGTATATATTGTTTACCATGTTAATTTCTTACAGGTGATCAAACCAGAGTCGTGCGTCCCTTGTGGAAAGAGGATCAAGTTTGGGAAGATCTCTCTCAAGTGTCGCGACTGCAGAGTGGTGTCTCACCCAGAGTGTCGCGAGCGCTGCCCTCTGCCCTGCATCCCCACTCTCCCAGCCACACCCGTCAAGATCGGAGAGGTGAGCAGACTGCGGCGGTTTCAAAGTTTGCCACACATTTGGCTACTCTGTGTGAATAAGAGGGCTCAGTAGTTAAATTGCAAGTATTATTTATATTTGGTGTATATTTGAGAGCGATGTAAACTACTAAACTAACACAAGAAGCTGGCGTTTCAGAACAAGTTTATGTAATCATAAACTACAGTGTTAGCAGGTGTTATGCAAGAGACCCCATGTAAACTATGATATGTTTGCAGAGAAGATGATATTGCATAAATAATCTTAGCTTTTATACTTTCTTAATTACGACAGCTAAAATTTCCATTTGATTACAGCTAATCAAGCTTGTAGCCCCAGTGCAAATGGTGAAAGCATTAATCCTAATTTCCCTTCTGTTCCAGGGGGTGCTGGCTGACTATGTCCCAGAGATGTCCCCCATGATCCCTCCTCTTGTTGTTCACTGCATCAGTGAAATTGAGCAGAGAGGGCTGCATGAGGTGAGCCTTTTTCCTTTTTAATATTTCACACATTTTTATGGGACTGTTAAGCCTCAGGCCTTAGCTGTTAGCTTTAATGTTCATCTCTTTAGCTCACACAGAGCAGTAACCAAGACTTAACAATCTGTTCTCCTGGAGATTAAATTTGTAATTGGCTCTTGGGCGACCAATCTGTTTAGAAATGACTATACTTCCACTGACTGATGTCTGAATGCAACTGCTATTTCAATTACTTTGCTCTGCTGGGTTTGTTTATTGTTTTTCTTATCTTCATTCTAAATATACCATAGCTAAGGGTGGGCAATAGTAACAGTTGACCGTTTTAAAAAAAATTATCACTACAATGATGATCACACTGTATTTTAGCCATCCATAATGTGCGATTGTATGATTACTCTGTAAGTTTAAATCAGCTATAAATAGTTTATGGGCATTTCCAAACAAACAATTGTGTACATCATTTCCACCTGTAGCTGAAGCTTATTCCCCCCTCATTGTTTCTTGTTTATTCACCCCTCAGGCTGGCCTGTACCGTGTGTCCGGCGCTGACCGCGTAGTGAAAGAGTTGAAGGAGAAATTCCTCAGAAATAAAACTGTTCCTGTCCTGAGTAAAGTGGACGACATTCACGCCATCACTGGGCTGCTTAAAGACTTCCTCCGAAACCTGAAGGAGCCTCTGCTCACCTTCCGTCTTAACCAGCCCTTCATGGACGCCGCTGGTGAGTAGGGGCCAAAGTTGTGACAATATATTATAATGTAGACAGATTATGCACTGATGAAAAATGCCCCTGAAGTTTTTTACTGAGTGGCACTGAGGCAGAATTATGGGCAACTGACAAAATGTGTGTGTGTGTTTTTTTTTTTTATTTTATTTTATTTTTTTTTACCTGCCAATTTTTTTTTTTTTTTTTTTTTTTTTTTTTGTCCTACAACAAGTATTTCTTCAATGCACGGACTCGGAAACATGTTATTTAAGGAGAGAAAGGTTCAGTTCACCTGTGTGTGATCACAAAGACCGTACCAGTGATAAATGTGTGCATAATCTGCAGTGTCTCTATTTAGCAAACTGTTTACTGATTGAGTTGTAGACGTTTATATTTGTTTTTTTAGATGTGTTTTGAGATCTTAAAGGAGAAAATGTCATTACTCACCATTGACACCTGTATACCTTTGGCACTCACTAAATTTCAAAAGGTTGTGATGTTACCTGCATAACCTCTATATATTTCGATCCTGAGGGAAAGTTCATTACTCCTCTGATAATATTACCAAGTAGTCTTATACTAGTTCTGATACAGTACAAAGTCATTCTAAAACTATTGAGGGGGAAAATTATATTTGTTTGGGTCATAGTGATTATTTGAATTAATTATTTATGTGCTGTAAAAGATTTAATAACCTTAAGATGAATATTTCATCATGCAATTTTTGGCACTGTAACTCGAGATGAGTGCCCACATCATTCAGACATTTTTACTGCTTTCTTTTAAAAAAAATAAAAATAATTCAGTTGCATGGGACTATACCGGTGAGTGTTACTGCAGTGACAGATGTGTGTACTGGTGACGCAGAGCACAAACACTGCAACAGAAAATAAAAAGAATTTATGGTAGTCCTTGAAACTCCTGAGACTCTGTAATGGAGAGTGAAACTGCACTCAACGGACTCGTTCACTTTTTTGGTCTGAGCTTTGTTTTGATGTGAGAAATCCCTGTAATAATGATGGGATTATACCGTTTCTTGGCCTCTTCCTACTTACTTATTGATTTCAGTGAATTTATGAGAGGAAAACTTACAATCATTTTATAGTTTTTGACCCAGGGCTATATAATTTTCTTCCAGAGGTTTCTGATGACGACAACAGCATTGCTCTGATGTACCAAACGATCAGTGACCTGCCGCAGCCGAACAGGGACACTTTGGCTTTTCTGGTGCGTCATCTTCAGAGGTAAGTGTACTACTACCAGTGATTCTTAACCATAAGGCTGCAACCACCTCTTTGAGGGCTCAACAATCAGTAGAATAATGCATTTAATGAGATTGGGCTCTAGTTTCGTGCAGAAAAAGCCACCATGCCCTGAGACTGAAATGGTTAAGAACTCCTCAACTTACTCAAAATAACTGTTTTGAGATATACCAAATCAGAACATTGGGTATACAGTTTGTAATTTAAAAGAATAAAAACAAATCATGCCAAAAGAATGGAATGATTAAAATATAGCAAATCTGTAGTTTAAGCAAGGAAGATACACTTGTATGTAGTTCATTCAGATCATTTTGATTCTGAGTCTCAACTAAGACATTTACAAGCAGCTTTTAACCAATTTTTGATGGGTTAAAAAAAAAAAAACATTCTTATCGTCTTATCGTTCACTTTTGTCTTTTGCCCACTTCTTATTAAATAATTATGTATGAATTGTATGTAATATAATAAATTTGAACACAGAGTGGCTGACAATGAAGAAAACCGGATGGACATCAGTAACTTGGCTCGAGTGTTCGGCCCGACAATCGTGGGCCATGCTGTGCCAAACCCAGAGCCCATGACCATCCTCCAGGACACCAAGAGACAGCCTAAGGTGGGTCACTTTAGACTAGATATCTGAAACAACCACTACTAACTTAACTGAAATGATGAAATAAATGGCTGCTAATTTTGTTAGAACGATATGCAAATCTAAAACATTACAAGCAAATTTATGTATTGTAAAGAAAAGTAACACACAATGATCAAAATATATTTTTACTTTTTCTAAAGAAAACTATTTCAAAACTCGATCACCTTCGTCTAGGCCAAATTTTGTTTAAAAAATAAATAAATCCAGTATACCAAAATTTCAAGTTTGTTTTTTCACTCAAATTACAGCAGCAATTAAATGTTTTAAAAAAATATATTTTTAATGACTGATCTAATACAATACTACCATGTCATCAGTACCATCAACTAGCAAAATAATTGTTCACTGCAGCCATTGCCATCACAAGTTTCCAGCTATTATTTGACTGACGGCAACACTACCAACAGAGCTTGGTTTTAAAAAAAAATATTCTAGAACAAGATCATTGCATCCCACCAAAAATCCCCCACTGTTCTGCAAAAAGTGTTTTTACAACCAGTCTGCTCATTTTGGCGAAGTTTGAGACAATCTACTGAAATCTCATTATTGTGTTTATTGTGATGTCTCTGTGAAGGTTGTGGAGCGTCTGTTGTCTCTGCCTGCTGACTACTGGGGCCAGTTTGTGATGGCGGAAAATGTACAGCCAAACCTGGACCACCTGATTATTGAGAATGCAAACTGTTATGCCACTCCTGAGAGAGGTGGGTTCTAATGGCTGACATCACATTATATCCATGGGTTTTTGAGTGATATTGGCACAGTTACCATACAAGATAATATTAACATTTTTATCTTTTGAATGGTTAAATGTCACCTATACATTCAGGAGGTTGAAATTCAAATATAGGCCTGTAGTGTTTTTAGATGGAGTCCTTGACTATTGTTAGTTTTTGTAGTGTAAGAAAAAATGGACAGAAAGAAAAATGCTTACATTACTGTTTTATTTTTCTTCACAGTGAGTATGTTGGGACCTCTGACCACTCCAGAGCATCAGCTCAGTAAAACTCCATCCTCTAGCTCCCTGACTCAGCGCATGCGCACCCTCACTCCAAGGTAAGAAACGGAACAGCTTGAAAATTTTAATAAAGTGCGCTATGTAACATTTCTCTCCTTTGGATCTGACTTGTAACTTGGTCGGGCTGCATCAATTGCTTACTTCCCATGGAGATAGGTTTAATGTCATTCTGTGAAACATTTTTGCCAAAGCCATAACCTCTGCATAGAGATGACGAGCAGGTGGCAGACCCTCCACTAGAACAATTATATAGTGCACCTGAAGGAATAAAATGCATATATTTGGACAGTGTGGTATTGTTTTATCCAATTGGATATATCTAGCCACTGACCACTCTTCTTAATGTTACAGATTTGGGAGCAAAAGCAAGTCGGCTGTCGGACTTCCTCGTCAAGGGAAATTCTTCGCTTCTCCTCTTCTGAAATAAGTCCGTCCATCTTAATGCTTTGTACAGCAATAATCTGCTTAACATTTACCCATATTCATTTAATTTGTTCTAGTATATTATCTGTCTCAACATGTGTTAAAGTGTCACGTTCATATTTTTTCTTTTGAAGAGAATCTATGCACCGTTTTGGTATGACTTGATTGTCATTTTCAGTTTTAATATAACACTTTGTGCATGGACCTGTTTTAAAGGGACCTGCTCAGTAACATTCATGTAATCAGCTTCAGCCCATGTTGTTACTCAGAGGTTGAAGTCTGTGTCAGGTTTAAAGAAATGTGTGCTGTTTTTTTTTAAATTTTTTTATTTGTATTTAATGTGTCCTGATTCATACACCAGCTCCTGATCAACATCTGTAAAGCCTATGTTGCAGTGTACTGTCAGAAATGATGACTGTAGTATTGATTATTGACTTTTACTCAGGCTAGTTAATCGGGAGCATTTTTAACTCGTGTTAATTAATTGGGAGCATTTTTAAAGCAAAACTGTACCCTTTACTAACCTGATTTGTGTAAATTATAAAATACAGTGTATTCTGTCAGTTGCTGTGGGGTTTTTTTTTCTCTCTTTTTACACTTCGTGATTTTGGTTAAACCAGGCCGTAATTGATTTTCCTGTCATGTCTCTCCCACCATTCAATTAACGGTGTTTTTGCAAAAATTCACACGTTGAGCTTGTTCAGTCCTTGCACTGTATTAAATATCTGCAGATTTTGTGATGTGGAATGATAACATTTCCTTTCACAGTGCCAACCACTACAGGCCTATCCATGGGTTTTAGAATGATGAGAAATTAGGACTGTTGCCATAGTCATTTTAAATATTGTTTTGATTGAGTCCCCAGAACAGGAAGCTAAGTAACATGCATTGGTCTTCACTAAAGTCATAAATGCTATTACAACAACAGGAGTTTATTCAATTGCCTACATGACCTTAATGGAAAAAATAGGAGAAATAGGCGATGGTGTTTACAATTGATAAAAGTGACAATGAAACTAGGCTTACAGGTAAAAAAAATGTAAACCTTTATTCGTCCATAGTCTTAGGACACTACCAGCAGCATTATTTAAAATCTAAAAAATCCTGGGCCAAAGGACGGGAGTGTTCCTGACATAGTTCTGATAGGCCGGGTCAGACCCCCACCTCTTCATGGCTTGTTTCTCCAGGATAGGCACTCCGCTCACATAGTTCAGCAGAAACCACACAAACATGGGTGAAATAATGCTTAAATACTGCTTCCCCTGCATCACTGATGAAGCAGAAAGCCAGAGGCCAGACCACTGCAGGATCTCTCCAAAATAGTTGGGGTGTCTGCTATAAGCCCAGAGTCCCGACTGAATGAACTTGCCCTGAGGGAAATAGACATAAATCAGATTATATACAGTGGTACAAGGTATTAATGCAGTTTGGGAGGTCTATAGGCAGCTAGAATTTGATGTTAAAATCTCAGTATGGAACTGCTGGCTGATGAAATAAACAGAAAAATCTTGACTGGTTATAGTGGGCCAAGGAAAATGTTTATGGGTCCACTATGCAACTGGAGGGTCCTCCACCTGCTTGTCTCCATGGAGCAAACTACTGCTTTACCTGGAATGTCCCACAGTATGAGATCAGACTTCTCTCTCTCCATGGAGACAAACCGGTACACCACTACACCACTAGGACCAAGTAACAGGTTTGTAGAAAGGTGACCCAGCTCACAGTGTAAATTTATGGTGTCCAAGGATTTTTTGAGCTTTAAAAACACTTGTAACTGAAATAATACAAGTTACTATTGTAGAAACATACCATGCATTTTGTTTGAATAATAAAATGACTTTCTGGCATGATGGAGAAATGTATTCACTTACGTTTATTTATTAACAAAAACACGTATTAAAATTTGTACCAGTTTTTGTTTCTTGTGGATAGGTCAAGTTATGTTTACAAGCCTAAACATTAAAATATTTCCAATAGAGTGCCTCTGACCTTTTTTTGGACCACTTTTTTACTCTATCACTCTAAGTTTTTATACTATAAGCATGGTCATATTCACTGTTTGTTAGCCTTTGAGCCTTGATCTTGAGGAGCACCTGTTCTGAACTTTTAACTAAGAAAACCCTCTGAACTTCTCACTTCTTGTGTTTTTAACCCTAAACATTTTCTTAAACAAAGGCTGAACAATACTGACAACAAAAAATAATACATTTTGTTTTTGGGATCATCCAGATGATAAAGATTAGATTGATTTTGCAATTCATCAAACAAATGTAATCTCACAAAAAGTGAAAGTTTCTGTTTATCACCTTGTCATCTTTTAAAAATCTAGACAGTATAAAATTTACTGAGAACGGCACCTACTCACAGTTAAGCAGACATGTATGAGTTACTTACAGCATTATCAGGGTCACTTTTGAACCTCCACTTCTGCTGGTCGGCAATGGCCTGGACAGTGAAGCCCAGGCCCCAGAGGCTCCAGCCCACGTAGTCCTTCCACCCGAGAGGCCTGTCCTTCTTCTCACTGTTTAATATCAGAGTGGGGAGCAGTGTCGTGAAGATCCACACCGCTGGGATAGGGAGAAGAGAAAAAAATACAAGTTTATTAGCTGTAATTAATTAAGGATGTCAGAATGAATTATTTGTAAAAAACAATTTATTAAAAGTTTAAAAGGCGCAACATATGCTATCCAGCTGTGATGTAATGCCTGACCTACCTAACTTCGTAGGCAATAATATTGCATTTAAGAAAAGAAAGTAAAGATTGTTTTCAGAAATAGAATATATTATGAATAGCCAAAAAGGCTGTCAAAATTCACCGTTCTCTGTTGAGCTCCATAGATGGCACGTTACTTATACTTTGTAGTGACATCACGCTGGAGGTGTTCTACATGAATCTATGGTGGAATGGTGGAGTTACTATAGTGATACAATTCAAAAAAGTTAAGGTTGTCTGAAAACTCAAGAAAAATTATAAAATGGATTTGATCGGCATATTTTCAGGAGCCTGTGATCAATATGAGCGTTCAGGGCCGGTTTTGGTGTTTGATTTTCAACTAAAATGGTGACAGTGACCAACTGAAAAACTGTTGGCTAACTGAAGACTTGAACTGTTGGAGACTTGTTTAACAGCAAATTAGCTCACCAGTTGTATCGTGTGATCAGATGTCCCTATTTACCTGGGACAGTCCCAGTTTTGAGCCCTGGGCCCCCTGTCCTAGCAGATTTATCCAAAACCAGTGATTTATCCCAGTTTTATAAAAGCAAAGCCTCAGAGGTCCCTGTTTTTGACGAATTTGATCCCTGCCAACAGTAAAAAGAGACATAAATTGTCATTTGTTTAAGTAAATTTCAGAAAAGCTGCTTAACAATGACCAAAACACAAAGAAAATGTGACTATACAGGCTCACATGTTAGTCATGAATGGTCTTTGCGTAACAATTTTCCTTAATTATGTACTCGTTTCACAATTCTATTATTACTAACCACCAGAAACCGGGGGTGTCCCAGTTTTTGATTTTGAAAATCTGGTCACCCTACAGTTATATTTCCAGCTAAATTAGTTCTTTGTGGTCATACTGTGTTAAAATAAAGGTCAGATTAAAGCCTGATTTGAGTAACAGAGCCTCCAAAAGAGCAGTGTCTACTGTTCGTGTGTAGAGTATGTAGTATGTAGAGTAGCCAAATAGTCAAACTCAGCCAAGACAAATATTGTTTATACATTAAATAACTAATGCAAAAGGGTGTTGCGTTAATACTAATCCTAGAAACACTTTTAACCAGCTGTACAATCAAAACAAGACACAGATTTATCCAATGGGCCTCCTCCTGTGATGTGTGCTGTGTTATTGAAGACTGAGGCAGATTGAGCTCATAAAATAGAGGAATTAACAACCCATAACCCTCCTTGGAGTACCTTGCACAGTCCAGTATATAAAGAAGGTCCCTGGGCTATCTCTGACATTGTTGAATCTGCGATCACGTCCGTCCTTCAAGATTCTCAGGAAAAGAAATGTCCCCAGTCTGAAAGAAAGTTAACACTCATATATTAACCACAACATTATTACACATTAACCAGGCATGAGTTTAGGTTTTATATTTATTGGCAGACTCTCTTGTGACCTTGCCAGCGACCCGTCATAATTTAAACAGATCAAATACAACGGCACTGTTGCCAAGGGAAACCAGATAAAGATAGACAAGTCAGGATAGAGAGATTTTACGGTTACATCAGAAGATTTTTTTTTCTCTAATAACTTGATCCCAAACTGTAGATAAGACCATAAATTAGTGTGAATGAAAGTTAAATGGGTGTTTTCCCTTTGTTTTATTGTAAAATGCCAGTTCTGATACAGAACAAGGATTGGTAATTTATTGAAAATACAATTAATTAACTTGTACAGTAGATCTGCCCTGCAAAACCTGAATCAATGGCCCTTGTCTAATTTATCAGGTTTATAGTTTCTCTAAACTACTGATTCATTTTGGCAATATCAAAATAATAGTTTGAAATAATTCAGGTTTTAATTATGAGCCAGTCAATCATAATTATGGTTTTGTCATGGTTTTGTAGCCCCAGCAGGATTGCCTACTGTCAAAATATTGTCTCTGGAATAACTAAAGAAAAATAAGAGTTGTTCATTTCTGTCAGTATTGCCCACGCCTAATTGAGAAGTTAATACAGTGGGATTTCGACACTGTTGTTGATGTTTATAATAATAAGTAAATATGGGCTTTATGAAAAAGATGATCATGATTTCTTTCCTTATACTGATCAATCTCGATTTTTTATTCAATTGCATTTGTTATTTTCAGAAACTAAATCAATCGTATTGTATAGTATTGATATCATAAATGACTTTTAATCTGTGCCATTTAACACAAAAGTTTAAATTTCTCCCCCCAAAGTCTGAACTCTCCTCCAAACCACATGTTTCTGCTGACAGAACTGGCTGTGGACCTCCCCATTGAAAAACCGTATCATTGGAGATTAGAGTGTTTCACAATCTCTCGATCTCACGACTAATTGCCCAGCCCTAATAGTAAGATAACATTAACATTACATACCTCAGGCCCCAGGTAGTCACTAGCCCAGTCTGAACATTCTGCCGGACATGCCTGGCTCCACCCCAAATACGACTCAGGTGAACAAGCAGTATAAATGTCCCAGACCCTGTTAACAGAACAGGTACTGTAAGAAGGTAGTTCCCGTTCCCATACAAAGAACAAATGGCAGATGGGCCTATAACCTGGCGGAAAAAAAGGCGTGTTCAATAAATCGTTTACCCAGGATGCTTATAGACAAATGGTTCCAAAGTTCAAGGGTACATGCCTCTGAGTTCGGAAGATTGTGGTGTGTGGATTAGGATTTGAGAAGTTAAAAGGGAAATACATCCACGTCTCCAGGTATGAAATGTTTTATAATGCATTCTTGATAAATTTCTGGTTTTAATTTCAGCCTGTTTTTGTCACAGAAGCTCATTTTTTGCCATAATGAAAACTTACTGAGTTTGCAGAGATAGCAATGCTGATTATGAGTTCTTCAGTTTAGGTTGCTGTATAGATAAGCTATAAGAATGATAGATATTAGAACTAAATTATAAAGTCGCAAAAAGTCTTCCACAAACATTTTATGCTTTTTATATTTACTTAATTATTATTTTTTTACATTTTTGTTTTGTAATATAGATTTTCAACAAGCCTAATACTGAGTGTTGAGATTTACATAACTTTAATTGTTCTGGTTCATAAAAGACACTGGCAATTCTGGAAAAAAAACTGCATTACTAGAATGACTTGAATGACTCCTTGAACTATGCTTATTATTCCCATCTTAGCCTAAAGAGGGCGCGTTTCTGCCAGTCATTTTAGGTAACATGCGTTTTGTAACAGTGATCAGTCAATATAAAGGACAAAGGACTACATTATTCTCAATTAACCGGTTTTCTGAATAGATTCTTGTGTTGCTTTTAGGTTTTTTATGCATGTAAATCGGCGCATTCTGCCCTTGAAAAAATACAGGAAAAGCTATTGCTATATTTTTCAAAACGTGCTACAACATGCTAAACAACATGCAATAATAACAGTAGGTTAAGAAAACAGATTGATCACGGCTTTTTATTCAAAGTGTGCTAAAACAATCTTCATAAAATTACCTGCTAAGTCGTAAAACTTCTCAGTCTTGCACGCTGCTGCTATCGCCCAGCCTGCCCACTGGATGCCCACGTCGGTCAGGGCGCATTTGATCAACACGCTGCCCATGATCAGGCTCTGCAGTCCGCCTGCGAACTCCGGGGTAAAATAATATGACATAAACACGAGAAAAGATCAACTAACCAAAGCAAAGTTCATCCCCGATATATAAATAGGCGTGGCTGAGGTCAAGGAATTATGGGAGTTGTAGTAAAGAGGATTAGTGGTTTTATTTACAACTTACACTGCAAAAAAAATATTGATTTCGAGATATAAGTTCACTTTCGTTTTACAGTAAGGGCCCTGAGTTGTTCACTTGGTTACTTTGGTGAGGAAAAGTTTTCGAACTCCTGCATATCTTATTCAGAATTTGTAATATGATAAGATGAATTATGCCTACTTAGTATTTATTTATTTTTTGTATATTTAGTATATATTTATGTTTAGATTTTAGTTACACTTATTTTGTATATTAAGGTAGTTGTGCAGCTTATATGTAAATATATTTAGGTTGCTATAGATAAGCTTTTAGTATGATAGATATTAGAACTAAATTATAAAGTTGCAAAAAGTCTTCCTCAAATGTGTTATGCTCTTAGTAATTTATTTATTTTGTAGTAGTAGTACAGCTTATATGTAAATATTGTTTATTCTTTTCTTTTGTAAATGTTCAACCCATAGAGTAAGAAAATGACTACAAAAACCCAACTTGCTGATGCTATATATTGTCTAATTTCAACTTCATTAAATAAGAAACATTTAAAAGTCAAGCTATTCTAACTATATTGCAGGCCTGTAGTCTATTCCTTTTTGCAGTGATGCGGCAAAGACTTAAGTAAAGGTCAGGAAATCATTGCATGGAGCAGACAGAGATAAAGATTTATTGACATGTTTGCTGTCTATGTTTGTTCTATCAGGATTAACTGATTATTTCATTATGGTGATAGGTGTCATAATATAGGCCAGTGGGTCTTAAACTTCTCATGCCAAGTACCACCAAAGAAAAGACTTGGCTTTCCACGTACCACCAGATCCAGGTCTAATCTAGGGCTAAACCAGGTCTAAAAGTTGATTAAATAATTTTCACTGTAATAATAAATAAGAAATTATCCATAGGAAGACAAAAAGTGGATAAAATAAACTCTAAATTAGGATTGGGACTTAGAAGCAACAACGTACTTGATTTTCTGGTTCAATTATCTTGCAGCCATAACAATAAGACATTTTTGTTCATTACATGTCTTAATCTTTAAGCAAAGTCCCACTAGGCCTAATAATTACTCGTGTCTTTCTTTTCTTGCAGCATAAACAAAAATGGCTGAAAGTCAGAGTCCAAAAGGTGGCTCCAACGTCTTTGCACGAAAGGTCCAGAGACAGCTGAGCAGAGGCAAAGAAAAGGTAGGGCTGATTGCTGATTGATTATTGCTTCATTGATTAAGCTGGTTTTCAATAATAATATGGCAGATTACATTGTTAACATTGGTCCGTTACAGGTTCTTCAAAAGCTGGGTAAAGCGGAGGTAACCAGAGACGAGGAATTTGAACAGTATCTTCAGAGATTTTATGACCAGCAGGTAAAGTCACCAGTATCAAGTATTGTGACAGTCACCTTTTCATTGTTATTCATTACTACAGTGGCTTTTCAGATGCATATTGTCATTACATAAATGGCAGGACAAAAATGACAGAGAAAAAGCAATTTACACTACTATTATATTATTATTAAATGTTTGAAATTTGCTAGTAACAGTTCATTTTGTAACTAACTTCATTGACTCTTTTACCCCCCAAAAATAAAGATAAGCTAGTATGTGTTCCATCAAACTGCATCAAATTAATCTTAATCCTTGTTCCTTGGTTCTATATTACTCAAAATTGACTCTTGTCAGTTTTAAGCCATAATGTTGTTACTTCTTCAAAAACATAATTGAAGTAGTGTTTTGTTTCATTCACATGTTTGAGTAATCCTGCATTATTAGTCTGTCTACATCGCCAAAACTCAGAATGCACCGATCCACCTTGTCATGTCATGAAGCGGGAGTTTTCAAATTAATCGCTACCTTTTACCTTTTGTTTTGTAAAATGAATAATGGGAAATTATCCAAATGATTCTTGTGAAGGTATATGGAGTTTAAAAACACAGTGGAGCACTTCCTGTATTACCACATGACATCACAAGGTGGAACAGAGCTTGTTTTCTGAGAGAAGAACTCCTATTTAGAAGAACACCTAAATATGCAGGGTTTGTTTGTTAATCTTGTGTGTTTTAAACAAAACACAACTCCATGCATGTTTTTGATGAACAAAATCATAACATAGATGAGAAAATAGCGTATGGGCCCTTTAATACATGTTAGGGGCTTTCTTTAGCATTTTAGTGATATTGTAATGTAATACCATTTTCAAAGACAGATTTGGATATTGTTACATTTTAGCACGGACATATAAACTATTTTGCAGACTGATGGGAACCGCATTCACAAAGACTTGAGAACCTACCTCAATGCTGTCAGAGGTATAAAATAAAACAATTTCTGCCTTTTCTTGTAGGTTTTGTTGATGTTAAACTTTCTGTTGTTTCTTCAGACATGAGAGAGGCTTCGAGACGCCTCTCCCAGTCTCTGTTCGATGTTTATGAAGGGGACTGGGTCGGAGAGGAGGACCTAGGAGCCATTGTCGAGGTTAGATAAGAACTAAACTTACACACAGCAAAAGATGTGAAAAGGTCGGATGGATAATATAGAGAGAATAGTGCCGTTCTACACACTGCATAAGAGGAATATCTAGTATTAGATCAGATAACTTGGATTCTTAATTTAAAGGTGCACTTTAAATTAACCTTTAAATGCACCTGTTATCTCCATATGTTTCCAGTTTGTCCAGTGTTCCACAGTATGGCATTAAACATATTTAGCTTGCATTTAGTTCATTACATGTGTTTTTATTACTTAGAAATATCTTAAAAAAAGGTTGCCTCTCCACAGATCTGATTGTGTCATCTGCTTGTCTCTATGATGATAGCAAAGTTTAATGCCATACAGTGGAACATTCTTAGCAAAGCAATAACTATCTCCATGGAAACAAGTAGGTCTTCTGGAACTTTTTGCTCATAATGTAGTTTTATATGTCAGCCTCAGGAAAATCCATCTTAAAACAACTACATGTGAATTTGGTGAATGCAATTTTCCCTATTGGCAAATGTGTTATCTTGAAATAATAGGCAATGCATTAAAACAATCAAGTTAGATCATTTAGGCCCATTAAGGAAACAAATTTGAAGAGTTGAAACTACTCAATTTGATTCTAGCCATTTAAACTAATTCAGCCACTTTTGCAGTGTAGCAGCAGTGTTTAGCACATTTTCTTAGAAACTTTAAAAGCAATGTCCCACTCTCTAACCAGGGAACTAAAGTCTGTTTTTCCTCACTTTCTTTATACATAATTAATGTTAAATTTATGCTTTTCTGTTTAATCAGGGGGAGGACCTGCTGTGGAATGACTTTGAGGTGAAACTATTAGACCAGGCCATTCGCACCATGGAGTCTTATGTGAGCCAGTTCCCAGACGTCAGGGTAAGAAAATCTAATGTAAACACGCACTTAGAAACAGGGGCCTTCAGCAAACACTCAAAATCCAATATGGAGGCTACACAATTTCTTTTTCTTCTGCAGGAGAAAATTGCCAAAAGGGGCAGAAAACTGGTGGATTATGATTCGGCGAAACACCATCTGGAGGCCCTGCAGAGCGCCAAGAAGAGGGACGACGTTAAGATCAGCAAGGTCAAGCAGCAAAGACAGATATTATATGCTAGTAGATATGTACAATATGTCCACTGTGTAAGGTCTGACTGCACAGGGTCCCCAGAGCTTTGTGAAAATTAAATAATACATCACAACAGAAGAGCAGAGTATATGTATTAAAGAGTCTAAATAATGTCATAACAGCATCTCATAAAACAAATGAAAAGCTGACCAACAAAGTGCCCTCAAATACCAGATGTTTTTTAATTGGCTCTTTGCTGCTCAGGGACATAATTCATTAAAAATAGAGGAAAGACAGCACTATTGGGTGTAAAATAGTAGCAGTACTGTTCATAAAATAACATCGTCTTATTCACTAAAGGCAGAGGAGGAGATGAATGCAGCCAAAGTTGTGTACGAAGGCATCAACAATGAGCTCAAAGAGGAACTGCCCACGCTTCATGATAAGTAATTATTCTTCCATTCTACCAATATATTGTATTATGTTATCTATATATTACTAACAATACATTTGCATATCTTTGGGCGTGAAGTCGTATTGGGTGCTACGTGTCAGTTTTCTTAGCTGTTTCCAATTTACGGGACACGTTCTACAAAGAAGTCAGCTCGGTATGTGCAGGGGTAAATGAATGGCCATGTATTTGTTTAACTTTGTTTGTAATTGAACCTATATCTGCTTTTAGCTAAACCAAGATCTCCACAATGTGATAAGTGAACTGCAGGCCCAACACCCAGACAAGCAGTTCTCTGTGAAGGGGATTCAAAGGTCAGTGTTTTTAACCTTAGTATTTAGCAGTTGGTTTAGTAAATAAATAGGTGAATTACTTAAGAAGAAGTCATTGTAGGGTTATTGAAGCAACAACTGGTGATCAAAATGTGACTTCTGCTTAAAAAAACAAAACAAAACATTAAAACAAATAAACAAAGCATATCATATTGTTATTGTAATATATTAGACTAGAAAATAAACATTGCCACTATTTTTATGTTAAAGTGTTAATTAAATAACTGTCTCACAGCTCAATACACAATAAATCCATTTAGAGCTACAAGATAAATTTCCTAGTCGAATCAAATCCACAAATTTACTTCTAACATTTATAGGATACCAACAAGATTAAACCTTACAAAGTAATTTTGAAAAACATGTTTCTTGGATAAGTTTGGTGCTTAATATTTTAGTCTGCTCAGAGACAATGCTCTCTAAACTGAATCTTACAAATTTGATACAAAAAAATCACCATTAGATTATTTCCAAAAACAAAACTTTGACCTTCCTGTTTCAGGTACGGTTCTTTGAGACGCACTCTGCTGTCTCCGAGAGCGTGGAAGGCCAGTTTCTCTGAGTTCCACAGAAGCTATAATCCCAAACCAACAAGGTTCAGCTTCAAGTCTCCAGAAAAACCCAAACATGGAACTCTGTCTCGAGAAAGCAGCAGCACTGGGGTCTCCCCACAGCCCCCCATCCCAGAGCACCCCAAACTTGAGCCCCCCAGCCCTGAGCCTGTAGACCTGGATAGTACTACTGGTGGGTAGACAGTTAGGCTACAATACCTTCTTTGGAAAAACCTAACAGTTACTCTGGACTTGAGTACATATATTTACTTGATGGGATGATTTGCCACCATACTTTGCTTGGAATGTTGCACAGAATAACAGTAAACTGATCATTGTAACTTGACCTGGTGGGTTCACCTGCCTGTCTCCATGGACATGTTTAATGTCACATAATGTGGAACATTACAGGCATTTCGATGAAAGCACCTGGTGACTGACCCTCTACCACAAAAGTTACATAGTGCACCTTTAAGTAAAATAATTCTGAAGTAACTCTCTCACCTCTGCAAAACTCAGGGAGCCATGGAGAGGCTGACAGTTCACAATCACAAGAGGCGGCTTCATCTTCACCTGAAAAGAGCAGCCCAGCAGAAGACAAACCCGAAGTTAAAGAGGAGGAGGAACCGTCTGAATCTGAAAAGAAACAAGATGATGAGGAAAAGGTTTGGGGAAAATTTATTTTATTTTGATTTACATTAGCAAAACATTGACACAATTAATCTGTTGATAATCCTGTAAAGATTCCCCCCAAAATAATATTCTTTTGATTCTGGTTCTGGTTTATTAATTGGCACTCCAGCTCCAAATTCATGTCACTCCGATGAGAGAGCGTACGTGAGGTTACCATTTTGTCAGGCAACTTTTAAAGATGTTCAAAGTCTGTCTTATAACTACTTCCATTGGTAGCTGGTTCCATTCTGGGAATAGTGGGTGGAAAGATGGAAAATGATATTGACATTGCAGATATGGGCAGAAACATACTTGGAAAAATATTGCACAATATGTGAATGAATTGTCAAATTAAACCTCCTTGGATCTCTGAAGATAACCAGGGTTGGTCTTGGTTAGTACTTGGATTGGGAATTGATGGTAAGTGCCAAGGTGGGACAGTAGTGGCACTAGTGAATACTGTGGTGTCCTTGGGCAAGATAGTTCTACCTACCTTGCCTATATGAATAATGTGTGTGATTGGTGGTGGTCAGCCAATGAACAAATCTTTTTCTAGTTTTCTTATTACAGACAATATATTATAATTACACATTTTATATGATTATGATGTACAGAAAAATCCCGCACACCATCTTACTTGCAAACTGTGAAATTTATTAGGACAAACCGTGCAACGTTTCGGCACTAGGCCTTCGTCAGGCAAACAGGCTGTTTGTTTCGGCACTAGGCCTTCGTCAGGCAAACAGGCTGTTTGCCTGACGAAGGCCTAGTGCCGAAACGTTGCACGGTTTGTCCTAATAAATTTCACAGTTTGCAAGTAAGACGGTGTGCGGGATTTTTCTGTATGTTCTGGGGCTGCTCCCTCTCCTCCAACGCACCCGTCTCTAGTAGTTGATGTGCGAGGCTCTCATTCTCTCATATGATTATGATGTAGAAAATATATTGCTAACCTATAATTCACTAAATCCCACTCTTCTTTAAGGATCCTGGGAGTGAGAGCAGCTCTGAAGCAGACCAGTCGTGTGATTCAGTGAGTCTGGAGAAGCAACTCGAAGCTGCAGATCACAGCCCACTGCACATTGATGAAGAGGAGGAGGAGGAGGGGATTGGGAGGGCCCTGGACACTCCAAAAACCAACGGACTGGAGAATGGAGAGGTCCCAGTCAGAAGCACCCCTATCAAGGTTAGTCTGGTAATTATATATTGCATAAGTCTTCTTTATTTCCTTTTGGCTGTTCCCTTTCTGAACCCCATTCTATCTGGCATCACTCAAACCTAGTTTTGTTTATTTATTTATCAGGAGCAATACACATAAAACACAAACCTAGACAAAAGAGGTAATATGTTTTTCCAAAGTTATAGCAAAGTTCTTAATTTCCACCTGTAGTCCCTGAAAAGGTTCATGTCATAAATGGTGCATGTGTCAATAAAATACAAGATATACAGAAAACAATCATCAAGTCAATCATTAAATAGAACTAGTCCCATTCACTCACCACATCCGTACACTATTTGCACATATACAATTCTGCATTCACATTGTTGCTGCATTCATACAAGACAGTTTAATGTGTACAATACTGGTTTATTTGGTTAGAAGCCATTTTTTGTTCAGGCTTCCATAAATCTCTTTAATAATCTACTATAGACCAGACAAGAATAACAGAATATATTAATGTTGTAACTTTTCTCACCACCTGATTGTCTCCATGGAGATTAAGAGTTGATGCTATAAGGTCAAATCACAGGTCAGATCTGTGGAGAAGTGAACCTAGAATGATATTTTTCTAGGTATTATTGTGCAAAAGAAATACTTAAATCGATCCAAGATAGATAAGTTTCCTGCCATACTATGATACACTAGTGCGCCTTGAAATGGTATGAGGATGTTTTTCAGTGTAGCCACCCACCATCTTTTCCAAGGTTGGGTCATGGGTGCAGCAGTCAGAGCCTCTAAATACACCACACCACACACCCGTTCCCAGGTCAGGTCCCTCCTTCTGGTGTAACATGCTCACTTAATGTGCGGTGTCCAAGAGGCACCTCAGCAGACTCTTCTCAGTGTGAAGGAGCACTGTCTCTACGCAAAGCTTTTCTTGAGTGACTGAGCTCTTCTCCACTCATGTGGAGGAATTACATTTCAGCAACATAATTCTAGAATCTTGTTCCTTTCGGTCATGCCCCAAAGCTTCTGGTTAGAGGTGGAATTAGGTCAGGAACAGATTGACCGGTAAATTGATCTGTTGTTCAGGCCAGACTCATCAGCATTCTCTCACTGCACCAGTTTGCAGTGAGTGGCTGAGATGACAACTAGCAGCTCCAAATCCATTTCACCAAATCCATTTTTTCTATACCTGAGTGGCACCCGCTTCAGGTCCGTGGCGTAGTTCAGATGAGTCAGCAAAGGGACAGAACATGATGTCTTTCAGTCTAATGTGCTTCTCCAATCCACACAGAAAAATAAACATATTTTTAAGCTTTTGAACTAATTCTTTGCTCTATATTTTTGCCTCATCTCCAGGATACTGCAGTAGATCAGGCAGACTCAAAAAGCACAGCAGTGTGACATACTTGTCTGCAGGTTTGTTTATTTCTCATTCATCATACCTTTGTTCATTTGTTTAACTAAGCCTGTGTTTGCTCTGTGTGTAGAGTTCAGCTAAGACATGGACTGACACCACCAGCTGCAGCCCAAAGAAACCCTACAGTCAAGTGTCCAGTACCAAGCTGGCAAATTTTAGTTTTTTTGTTGTTGTATATTTTATTAAAATAGACCTACATTTTATATGTTTAAGTTTAAAATTCTATCAAATCATGCAATTGCTGGAGAAGTCAACTATGTTTGTATTGTTTAATTTATTTTAATTTAAATGCTAACTATTTTATGTGTGTAAGTTTATGTTATCCTGTACATCTTCACGTCTCTTGAAAAGCAAACAATTGTGTCTGTAATCTAATCAACAGAAATACGCACAAAATGATGTCTTGCATTTGCCTAAATTCTTACCTGATTAAAGAATCAATTTTGACCCTGCTCTTTAAACAGACACTGTGTTTTTTTGATGAATATTACTTTCTATTAAAACAGAACTGATAAAACAGTTTGATGTCATACAGAAACGATCTTTGGATAGGCTTGAGGAGGAAAAGGGCGGGGCGGAAATCCAAAGCGTGTTCTGCAGCATGACGCACGACGCACGAACCCGAAGACGAAAAGCCAACTAACTTCTCATTTAGTTTCTCACGAGTTTACCTCATGTTTCCCGGCGTCTCATACCGAGTTTAGGACAACGATCCAAGTTTTTTCTCGCCGTAAAAGTGGTCGACTAATTCTACGATTTTTCGGTAGCAAGTTTGGAAAAATCTCTTTAACTTTAGTGCATCCAGGTAAGTCAATTTTGTCTGTAATAGCTACTTGGCGCTCTCCCTGATTGTTAAGTTGTTTTGTCTTTTTCTTGTCAAATCTGTTCTGATAGTTAGAATAGAAGTTGTGTCATTGTAACTTAAGACACCGCAATTGACAAACTATTTTGGTAGAAGTTGACATTTTATCAAAAAGTTGTATGGGTCATGCTAACAGCTGCAATGTTCTGAAACAAAGGAAAGCATCTGATCCGTGAGTGAACAATATGGACAAACGAGATGAGTGATTATTTCCCAAGGAGCGGGCAACACCTCAGGGTTTTTTCGTGTTATTCAAAACCTCGTTGCAAAAGTTGGGTGTACAGTTTTGCTTTTTATTCATAGGTGAAACCAGCTGAGAAGCAACAATGAATGGTAAGAACACGTTGTAATTATTGAAATGTGACTATGTTGTATTATATTTGGATAAAAAAAAATACTGTCTAAATCTGATTTATTTATTTTTTTATTGTAGTTTATCCCAAAGTTTATCCCAAAGTTTATCCCAAAGTTTATCCCAAAGTTTATCCCAAAGTTTAGTCCAAATAGTAGTTTAGACCTGGTTTTGTCCTGGTTTAGTCCCAAATAGTATTTTAGACCTGCTTTAGTTCTGGTTTAGACCTGGTTTAGTCCTGGTTTAGTCCCAAATAGTAGTTTAGACCTGTTTTAGTCCACGTTAATTCCCAAATAGTGGTTTAGACCTGGTTTTGCCTCAACTAGTGGTTTAGAGAGAATTATATAATGGCCTGACAGGTTTTTATTTTGGTGTGAGATCTTAATAATCAGATTAAAGTGCCCCAATTCCTAAATTTCTGTTGTTTGCACCGGGAACAGTGCAGTTTCACAAGTGTCTCTCATTCACTTGTAGAGGAGACACTAACATTTTAAACATACTGTACCTTTGTTTTTGAAGTTACAGATATGGCCAATTCAACAACAGAGGGGACGACAAGCGCAGTGACAGAAGGTAAGTGCTACAATATTCCCATTTTTATACTTTTTAATTGGACTAGTCTCAGGTATCACATTGTAATCAAAATCTCTGCAGTGTTTTAGATGTGCCCATTTTGCCCATACACACAGTCATTGATACTTCTTTTGCACTATGGTTGCATGATTATGGGGAAGAAAATCACAATTGCAATTATTCTGTATTGTGCTTTTTGATCACATTTGCATTATATATTTAAAAAGTAGGAGTCTGTTCAGAGTGTGCTCTAGGACCATTAACATTTGAGATGATTGAAAACTGATAAACTGATACAAGAATCCTCTGCATTTCAGAACCAGTTTGTAGAGATCTACTGGCATACAACAAGATTCTATAAAAAGATAATATTTTGTTCTTTGACGAGGACATTCATAACAATAATTTTTGCTTTTGTGATTTGATATATGCAAAACACATTGTGATTTTGATTCAGTGCTGATATTTTGTGCTACTTTGTAAATAACAAATGATGTCACCAATGCCATAGGGTTTTCTTATGTATAAAACCTGCTATTCCTCTAGTTTAGACCTTTTCCAAACATGTCTTGAGATGCATGGTATTTTTGTATTAGTTTAGCTTTCATATTTAGCTCTTCTGTCAAACAGTCATGCTCCTAGACGTGCTTAAAATGTGCACTTTGAGATGAATTTAAACTACTACTACTTTTCTATTTTGTATTACATTGTTTTTGTATGCATGCTTTGTCCTACTTTTGTACTTTTTGGATATTAGAAGATGCCTTAAAAATAATTTCCTGTAAGATTAATAACTTTTTTCTTTCTTTTCTGTGCCCCAAAAGGAGTTACAAAATCTTTAACAACACTGTACACAGAAGCCAACACCACACATAACCTGGGTAATCTTGGCTTTTTTAATAGAATCCAATTATTCTAACTAACTTGATAAATGAATGCATTTTCTCTACCTGCAGTGGTAACAACAGCGCTGCCACCAATTTCAGACAGCACGATTGTTGGAGGTAAGAGATGTAGATTTTTTTAGTGTGTGTTTATATATACATTTATATAGAGAATTTTTTGAAGGTCCTATAATATGCAAAATGGACTCTTGTTTTAGTCTTGCTTTAGCTTTTAGTCATGTTGGAATGTTGTTATCACCTCAAAAACATACCTAGAGTTCACACATGTTTGGGTAATCCTGCATTATTAGTCAGTTTACATGACAAACTAAACTGAATGAAAAACAGCGCAACTCCAGGTATGTTTTTGATGAGGAAACAGTATAACATCCATCCATCCATCCATTTTCGTCCGCTTATCCGGGGCCGGGTCGCGGGGGCAGCAGCCTAAGCAGGGACTCCCAGACTTCCTTCACCCCAGACACGTCCTCCAGCTCCTCCGGGGGGACCCCGAGGCGTTCCCAGGCCAGCCGAGAGACATAGTCCCTCCAGCGTGTCCTGGGTCTTCCCCGTGGCCTCCTCCCGGTGGGACATGCCCGGAACACCTCCCGAGGGAGGCGCCCAGGAGGCATCCGGAACAGATGCCTGAACCACCTCAACTGGCTCCTCTCGACGTGGAGGAGCAGCGGCTCTACTCCGAGCTCCTCCCGTGTGACTGAGCTCCTCACCCTATCTCTAAGGGAGCGCCCAGCCACCCTGCGGAGGAAACTCATTTCGAGCGCTTGTATCCGCGATCTCGTCCTTTCGGTCACTACCCAGAGCTCATGACCATAGGTGAGAGTAGGAACGAAGACTGACCGGTAAATCGAGAGCTTCGCCTTTCGACTCAGCTCCCTCTTCACCACAACGGTCCGATACAGCGACCGCATCACTGCCGAAGCTGCACCGATTCGCCTGTCAATCTCACGTTCCGTCCTTCCCTCACTCGTGAACAAGACCCCGAGATACTTGAACTCCTCCACTTGAGGCAAAGACTCTCCACCCACCCGGAGAGGGCAAGCCACCTTTTTCCGGTCGAGAACCATGGCCTCGGACTTGGAAGAGCTGATCTTCATCCCAGCCGCTTCACACTCGGCTGCAAACCGCCCCAGTGCACACTGCAGGTCCTGGCTCGATGAAGCCAACAGAACAACATCGTCCGCAAACAGCAGCGCGGAGTCCAACATGCACCGGGAACAGGTCTGACTTACTGCCGGCAATGCAAACACAGCTCCTGCTCCGGTCATACAGGGACCGGACAGCCCTTAGCAAAGGGCCCCGAACCCCATACTCCCAGAGCACCCCCCACAGGACACCACGAGAGACACGGTCAAATGCCTTCTCCAGATCCACAAAACACATGTGGACTGGTTGGGCAAACTCCCATGAACCCTCGAGCACCCTATGGAGAGTGTAGAGCTGGTCCAGTGTTCCACGGCCAGGACGAAAACCACACTGCTCCTCCTGAATCCGAGGTTCGACTATCGGCCGGATTCTCCTCTCCAGTACCCTGGCATAGACCTTACCGGGAAGGCTGAGAAGTGTGATCCCCCTATAGTTGGAACACACCCTCCGGTCCCCCTTCTTATATAGAGGGACCACCACCCCGGTTTGCCAGTCCAGAGGTACTGTCCCCGACCGCCACGCGATGTTGAAGAGGCGTGTCAGCCAAGACAGCCCCACAACATCCAGAGACTTCAGGTACTCAGGGCGGATCTCATCCAACCCTCGGATGAGTCCGCCTCCGAGTCCCCAGCCTCGGCCTCCTCCTCGGAGGACGTGACTGTGGGATTGAGGAGATCCTCAAAGTATTCCTTCCACCGCCGGACAACGTCCCCAGTCGAGGTCAGCAGCTCTCCCCCCGCACTGTAAACAGTGTTTGTGAAGAACTGCTTTCCCCTCCTGAGGTGCCGGACAGTTTGCCAGAATCTCTTTGAGGCCGTCCGATGGTCCTTCTCCATGGCCTCCCCGAACTCCTCCCAGCTCTGTGTTTTTGCCTCCGCGACCACACGGGCTGCAGCACGCTTGGCCCGCCGGTACCTGTCAGCTGCCTCAGGAGTCCCCCGAGCCAGCAAGGCCCGATAGGACTCCTTCAGCTTGACAGCATCCCTTACTTCTGGTGTCCACCACCGGGTTCGGGGATTGCCGCCGCGACAGGCACCACAGACCTTACGCCCACAGCTCCGAGCAGCTGCATTGACAATAGAGGCCGAGAATGAAGCCCACTCGGACTCCATATCTCCGGCCTCCCCCGGAATCCGGGAGAAGTCCTCCCGGAGGTGCGAGTTGAAGGTCCCTCTGACAGAGGGCTCCGCCAGACGTTCCCAACAGACCCTCACTACACGCTTGGGCCTGCCAGGTCTTTCCGGCTTCCTCCTCCGCCAGCGAACCCAACTCACAACCAGGTGGTGATCAGTTGACAGCTCAGCCCCTCTCTTCACCCGAGTGTCCAAGACACGCGGCCGGAGATCAGATGACACGACTACAAAGTCGATCATCGACCTCCGGCCTAGGGTGTCCTGGTGCCACGTGCACTTATGGGCACCCTTGTGCTCGAACATGGTGTTCGTTATGGACAAACTGTGACTAGCACAGAAGTCCAATAACAAAACACCGCTTGGGTTCAGATCAGGGAGGCCGTTCCTCCCAATCACCCCTCTCCAAGTGTCACTGTCGTTGCCCACGTGGGCGTTGAAGTCCCCCAGGAGAACAACGGAGTCCCCGGTCGGTGCACTGTCTAGTACCCCTCCCAAGGACTCCAAGAAGGCCGGGTACTCAGCACTGCTGTTCGGCCCGTAGGCTGACACCACAGTGAGAGACCTGTCCCCGACCCGAAGGCGCAGGGACGCGACCCTCTCGTTCACCGGGGTGAACTCCAACACACAGCGACTGAGCTGTGGGGCAATGAGCAGGCCCACACCAGCCCGCCGCCGCTCCCCGCGGCCAACGCCAGAGAAATGGAGAGTCCAGCCCCTCTCAAGGAGTTGGGTTCCAGAGCCCAAACTGTGCGTGGAGGTGAGGCCGACTATATCTAGTCGGTAACGCTCAACCTCCCGCACAAGCCCAGGCTCCTTCCCCCCCAGCGAGGTGACATTCCATGTCCCCAGAGCTAGTCTCCATGTCCGGAGATCTGGTCGCCGAGGCCCCCGCCGTCGACTGCCGCCCAGATCTCTCTGCACCGGCCCCATATGGATCCTCCCGCGGGTGGTGGGCCCACGTGAGGACGGCCCCACGTCGCTCCTTCGGGCTGAGCCCGGCCGAGCCCCGTGGGGGGAGGCTCGGCCACCAGGCGCTCGCTGGCGAGCACCCACCCCAGGCCTGGCTCCAGGGTGAGGCCCCGGTGACGCCAATCTGGGCGACGTAACTGGCCTTGCTGGTGTACTCATCATATGGGGCTTCTGAACCGTTCTTCGTCTGACCTGTCCCCCCCCGGACCTGTTTGCCTTGGGTGACCCTACCAGGGGCATGAAGCCCCCGACAACATAGCTCCCGGGATCATTCGGGCACTCAAACCCCTCCACCACGATAAGGTGACGGTTCAAGGAGGGGACAGTATAACATACATCAGAAAATAGCGTAGTATAGGCTGTATTATTATAGATAATAATATAATTTATTATATTTATATTTATTATATATATAATATAATATAAATATTATATTAGTTAATAAAAATAAATGTGAAGCTGTATTGAATATGTAAACTACTCAGGGACTGCAGATGGAAAGTAGCTTTATAGCTGTAATTTAGTGCAGAACATGTGTTTATAAGCTTAATGTGTTATTGTTATATTGTCCATTCAAACAAAGACTAAACATTTACATACATTGAATGTCTATCAAAACTGGTCCATTGTGTCCTTAAGCAAGACGCTTGACACCCACCTTGTTTGAAAGTGGTTAGTGAATGATTGGTCACGGGCAGAGGGAATGTAGGTGCAGATTGGTAGCCATGTCTCTTGTCAGCCTATCCCAGGGCAGCTGTGGCTACAGTAGAAGTTTCCATATTTGGTTATTTATTTAAGTCTTAACAACTAATAAATAATAATGTTGATTTCATAAAGCTGGTCCCATACTTAAGCAACAGTGATCTAGTAAATGGAGTTAATAAAAGAATTTTAGAAGGATTTTACTTCTGTTTGGCCATAATGTCTTAAATTCTAAATAATTGTTAAATCGCTATGTTTCTTCTCAAACACAAAAAAATTGATATCTGGACAGCTCTTTTTTTGAATCTCCAAAAAAACAGTAAATAAGCCCGATGCATTATTAAAGGTACATTATGTAACTTTTCTGTGGGGTACAGAACCTGCTTGTCTTCATACATATTTAATGTCTTTGTCTGGAATGCTCCATAGTATAGCAACACACGTGTCCATCTTGCATTAATTCAATACCAGGTGTTTTTATAGCTGGAAAATACCTTGATAAACATGTACTCTTATTGCAAACAGCATCTTCTCTCCACAGATTTGACCTGTGTTGCTTGCTTATTTCCGTGGAGATGGATAACTTTAATGCCATACTGTTGGAACATTCCTCAGTAGTGCCCTTTTTAAGTTGGGTAAATTAAAACCAGCTAAAATCACTAGAGATTTTACAAGCATTTGCAATAGTTTAATTTCTTCTTCTCACTGTTTGAAATGAAAAATAGTTTAACCGGCTTGTTTTTCCACAGTGGTCATTTTCGTGATCTTGCTGACTGTAGCTGTTCTGGGCTTCGTGCTCTATCGATATCTCTGCCACAAGAAGGGCGCGTACAGGACGACAGGTGAGCTAGCTCCGGGTGAGGACCTCGACGAAGACCACCACAATCAGACAGGAAATGAGAAAAAGGAGTACTTCATTTGAACGCAAGAGACTTTTCAACAGTTTAGTTACTTTTTGGTATTTTATTTGATGGAAGGATGCCACTTTTTACATGTAAGGTATGTTTTTTTTTTTTAAAGACTTGTTGAGAAGCTTGGAGGCATACTTGAAAGTCCAGTATGATGTAATAGAAAAGGATCTTTTTGAATGTTAAGCATTTGAAGCATATGGAAAACAGGTTGCCATGTTTACAATGGTGTAAAGTGAAAAATGATTTTAGTTACTGTTTAAATGAAGATTCACTCTTAACTTCTGAGCATTTTAAGTTTTGTTTTTATAACCTTGTTACAGAAGATGATTGTTTCAGATTGTTTTATGTTCTTCTGTTGGTTTGGTTTAAACTGAAAAGTTTAATGACAATTTCCATATTTATATTTCATGTGGGAGCCAGTAAACTTTTGGTACAATGGAACTTCACATTTGTCTGGTTTTTCATTACAAAACCTTTGGAAAACAACACTACATTTCTCAAATATTAATACTAAGACTAGTGTGAGGAGTAAAAAGATGTTCCTCTTCATTTGAGACATTTTGGGGTAGTTTAGTTGTGTTTCAGACTTACAGACGTACAGACCGGTTTGGTTAGATGTGTTTTAGTCCGGTTTTAGACTAAAATGGAAAAGAATTGGAACACTATTTCAAAATTACTCAAAATGGTTATACCCTTGGAAAAAATGTAAAAATGTGAAATCTTGCACCCCTAGTTTAGACCTGGTTTTAGTCCTAATTATGGTTTAACTGCATGATTCCATGAAAATAGGAAGTTACAACCTATTTTCTCTATGAAGATGGATACATTTTATGCCAGGAAGTGGACTAGTATTGCCAAAGGAACATTTCCATGGAAAGAAGCAGAAGGGGTCAAATAAAGGTCCAGTTTGTGGAGATGCTCAGTTTTTCAGTGCTATAAAACATCCACAATTAAAAAAAATTTTAAAAAAAGACATATTATGGCTTTAAGCTCAAGATGTAATTTGGTACAAAAATACCATTAACTTGCATACTAACTAAATGCCAATATGATAAGATTTTGAATTTGAATATCTGTATTTTTGACATATCGTGACTGTCTCGAGATTAGGATTATGTACTTTCAAAATCAATCAACATGCACATCATACAAAGCACATGACCAAAATGGGTAAAATAATTGTTGTAAAACCAAAAATGACTCATTCTGTTGCTTACACCTGCAATATGAATTCATGTTTAAGATGTTTAATTACCATATCAAAATGTATATGAACAGCTGAAAATGGGCTTCTACAGTCTACTACATCAACATGGTTCTATGCGATGGAAAAAATCAGCAATGAAAATACAACATGTCTAATTTTTCAAAATAACCTTTATTCTAAACCAAACCATTTTAAATTTTAAGTTTAGTATAAAAAAGTTAAGTGCACCTTCTCTCTTTTCCATCAAAACTCAAGTGACACTCTCCTCCTTTTTGTAATCTTAAAAGATAAAATGAGTACCAAAGAACATTACATCACTTCAGTACATGTGTGTTTTTTTGTTGTTTTTTTTTTACAAAATGTTGTAAAAAGAATCCCTGAACTATAAATGTTCATTCTCCTTCAAGAGTTTTCCATTTGCTGTGGTTGGCATAGCATCTACTGGTCAGCTGTAATTTACAGTACTTTATATTGCTAGAACAAATGCACTATTATGCAGCAATACAAGTAAAAATGTGATGAAATTAATATTTTTTAAAAGCAGTGGCCAGTGTTTATTCTCGGTTATGTCAGATATGTATAAAGTTATGGAATAAAACATACAAAACTCACTACTGACACCTAGAGCAAAAAAGGAAAATCTACACAGTTTACTTGTATGAATTTTGAATATTAATAAATTAATAGTTCATATGTGATAAATGGTTGGACCTAATTTGATTGGTTGCAAGATATTGTTTTTCTCATTTTTAAACACATTTTGCCAATTGTGTATGAAAATTGAACTGAAAAAAACAAAACAAAAAACTACTCCACCAACTGCAGTAGGAAGTGTGACAAATACCTTGAAATCTATTTTTTAAAACTCTCAAAACTTTAAACCAACAAAGTTCTAAAACCATGATGGATATTGTGAATTCAAGTCATTTTAACCCCTATAGATCCAAGTGTTGCAGTTTAAGATAATTATTTTGATTCAATACCAAAGTTTCTACAGGCCACAGCTTTTAAAACATAGCGTAATGTCGGATACCCAGTTACATTTAATTAATATGAAATCTAAATGAATATGTATTAACAAAAAAATAAGTTCACAAAAATGGCATTTCTACTTCTGGCACATGTTTAAACTGGCTAGACAACACCATATGGAAAGTTGTTGCTCCGAGTATTAGCAGCACAAAACAGTCATCCTGTGAAATAGAAGAGTCAGTGCAAGTTTACTATACTAACAAGCACAACATTATAATGAAGGCTCGATATACAAGAAATACATACAAAAAGTAATGGAAAAAAAATAAGGAAAAGCTCGCACCTCTCCATCTGAATGTTTTTGCCGTGCATGATAGAAATAACAGTTAAAAGTGAGTTAGCTTTAGGGATGTCAGGAAAAATCGATTGTACAATTAAGATTATCTATGTTATGGTATAATGAAACTATATAAAAATCTCTCTTATGTCAATTAGCATTAATAAAGCTGGTCTAATAATTCTAGTGGAGCTCAATGTTGAATTATTAATTGAAGGAGTTAGTTTTTATTTCACTGGCCAAGCTTTGACTTTGGCCCATGGTATCAATAATTGCAATCTTGTAAAAATCTATTACTTTTCATAATCATAACACTAAAATGATACTCTCTCATCCTTCGTGGGTTGTGACTACACAAAAAAAGTGCAATTTCTAAACATAAAAGAATCAGCCATATTGGACATATATTCTCACCTTATGTCATGTTAAAGGCCCATTAACCAAATAATGGAGAGTTCTAATACACCAAAGTCTAGATCTAACACAAGGTACACTATGTATATTTTCTGGTGAAGGGTTCAAAACCACCTCATCTCCATGGATACATTTCCACAGTATGGCATTGAAGTTATTTATTGTCATAGACAACCAAGTGAGATCACCAGGCAGGTGCGTCAGACTGGAGAGTACTGATAACGCAGGGCCCAATGCAAGAAGGGGCCCTTCACAAAGCCTGTAATGTGCATTTTTCATAAGACAAAATGTAGTGTGGGCCCACCAAAATAATGAGTACCCAGGGTCCAGAATTTGAAGCTTACACCCATGCCACCAGGCTTCACCAGTTACAGGTCAGATCCATGGAGAATAAATCTCTCACTGTAGGAATGAATGGTTTTCAAGGTATATTTATGTAGTAACACCTGTAACTGAAATAATAAATGTAAGATAAATGTGTTAAAATACATACTGTGGAAAATTCCAGGAAAAACTATAACATTTACATGGAGACACACAGGTGACCTTTTAAAATGGCTTGAATCAGACTTTTAATCATATTTTATAGTAGTTATCACAATTTATTGATATATTAGGTTATTGTATTTACTTCATAGCATCTGACTAGTTAGTTTTAACATTTTATTATCATTCCTTGTAAATGCACTGTGCATTTTTTACCCCATTCACTGACATGTTTAACATATTTTATCCTTTAAGCTTAAGTAAATAAATTCCAAATGGTTAAAATGAAAGATTAACATTCTGAATTCAAGTCATTTAACATCATGTAAAAAGTCCTTTTTTGTAGTGCATTGTTTTTGGCGTAAATTTAAATTCACCAACCACACCCTCAAAATTATGGAAAATGAGACAAAAGTGCAACAAAGTTACCTGACATTAAAAACATGCTCATTACAAAAAATACTAGAAATAAATAAGTATTACAACTGGAAGTGGAATTTCCAGTTTATCAAAAAATTTAAAAAAACAATAATATGAAAAAAAAAAACCCAAAAACCTCTGGGTATCCGACTATCAAATAGAAAGATGAAAAGCAATAATGTTAAACCAACCACTCCAATATATTCAACAAACTAGTTAGATTTAGCAAAGTGTCTTTCCTAAAGCTAATTTGCTTAGATTAGGGTTGTCCCCGGTGCTCTTTGGCACTTGAATACATTAATTTAAAATTGCCCATCAAGGTACAGTAGACCACTATGGATGTTGCACGAATCTTTTCATTAAAATGGAACTTGATAACAACATTTTTATTGTAATTGGGTCTTGTACAAACATCATTGACACTTAATGATACAGATTTTTATAGTTCGATCTATACTTCCCATTAGTACTTACACTTACCACTTCACAGCTAGTATTGCACTAAACTAAAATTCGAAAAATTACAGTCATTTTCTAAGAGTGTATGTTTCATTTTGTAGATGCATTTAGACTGTATTGAAAGCAGCTAAGTACTAACACATGTAATGCTATTGGATATACAAACATTTTATCACATGTACAGAATGCAGGAGTCGCTTTACTTCACACTGGTTTCTATAGGCCTTATTTCGGTTCTTGTTCTTTGTAGTGAAGTGGAGTACTGTACCTTTTACATGGGCTTATAGTACATTCCTTATGTGAACTCAGTGTTGTGGCATGAACAAGCAGCCTTGACCATAAACGATACAGGAAGAACTGGGGCGTTGGGACATGGGGCAGAGCTGCTGTTACCAGATGGTGTATCCTCCACTGGAACCGCCCAAGAAGAAGTTATTCTTGCGCTGTGCCATGACCACGTTTGCCCCCTGCATCGCGGCCAGCTGTGCGGCATTGGGGGGGTGTCCGGGAGGTGGTGGCTAAAAGGACAACAGCATTAACATTAGACTGAGTTTAAATATGACACACAGGTAAAAATGATGGTACATACTGGGATAGAAGCACTGCTGCCTGCACCAAAGCGCGCCCCTGCATCATAGCCCCCTTCCACCATTACAGTGGAGCCAGGGGGGTACAATGCTCCTATGGGGTAATAGGCCATGGGCACATTCTGCCCCATGTGCCCCACACCCATGGGCTGCTGCAGAGGCATGAACATCTGAGCTCCAGCGTACGGAGAGGACATGGTGGCCTGTCCAGGCACCTGCGGGGGAAGCACATATCTGGGCTGGTATATCTGCAAACATAGGTTTAAATGATGATTATAACATTATCTATGTTGTCACAATCATAAACAGTAATGCAGTATTTACATCTGTATACGCAGGTGGAGCATCTGTGTAAGGAGGAGCCTGAGGAGACATTTGCATAGCAGGAGGGTAAGCAGGAGCGGTGCTCTGCTGAGGGTACACCGTCTGCTGTGGATAGGAACCTGTGAAGAACATCATGACAACATAAGGTCCCCAAACACATTCAGAAGATCAAGACAATAGATATATATTAGCACGACATGCATGGTGCTGTATTTTATTATCTTCTTTAAACCTAAGCGGGTCAAAGTCCAAGTGATACACTAACTTTATCTCACGAAGTCACAATAGAGGAAACTGTGACTTACTGAAATAGCCACGTAAAGAAATTTTCAAAAAGCAGGTCGGTTTATCCATCTCTAACCTCTTACACATTTACATGTAAAAAGCTAATAGCTGATTGTATTTTAATGAAAAGCATACACAGCCTATTACTCCTAGGCCTTGTACTTCTAGTGTCTATAACATACCTATAACGATAATAAACGCGTTATTAAACGATTCCTCATGAACAGGTGAAAAAAAACCCGACAATCACAATCTGACTGAAATAGTCCATCCTTAGTTTATGTTTGGGGTAATTTCACGTGATTTTTCAACGCGCCAGTCGTATGCTGTTATGTAGCCATATGTAGCCCGCTGTATTCTCTGTTCCGTCACAGAAATCTGCTCAAATCTCTGCACCAAAACAACAAAAAGACGGATTGCCTTCATGACCGCGGTTCAAACTGAGGCCTAATGATAAAATACCTTTGTTGTTCATCGTGTCGCGGCGGTTCTGGAGGAAATCTGCGTAAAAACTGTATTCTGCGTATATTGTGCGGCCTCAAACGCTTCGACTGCTTTATGTCACGCACTTCCTTGTTTTCGTGTTTTTGTCAAAGCGGTGACGTAACTGTACGGAGCCTGCGCGCGCCCCCAGGAGGTAAGAATAAAGCAATGCAGAAAGAGAGTGAACCAAGGTGAAAATGCATTTAACTCCTAAATGACTTTGACTTTTTGTGTTAATAGAATGGTGCAAAAACATGGGCAAAATATCCAGTCCAACTTTATTTGTAGACCTATAGCACATTTCTACCAACATAAAGTCCCTAAAGTATTACAGACAGTGAACACAACATAAAGAAACCCACAATAATGTCCAAACTATAGCCCAGCGGCCAGGCCAATTTTTATTCTACTGAATTGGCCCAATTGATCATAGGCATTCATTTGAACAGCAAATTGAAGTAATTCTACCACTATACTCTCAGTAACATCACATTGCATTGTGACACACAAACCTAAAATGAAATATTAAAGGTGGCGACTCTCTTCAAAAGAACAATGGTAAATGCACTCATTTCCATCATCGATCTTTCAAGAAGTGTCCCTTGGTGAAAAAAGTTTGTATAATAAATAAAAAAGGGTTGTATTGGAAAAACTGGTGGGTGTGCAGGACTACTTTATCAGTCCACTGCAGGAGCTGCACAGCCATTTAGACCTATATCCCTATACCACTTATTTAGAGAATGTCTCACTATTGGTAATACATGAATTACAGGAACGCAGATTTACGTACATAACATATTTTTACTCAACAACAATTCAACAAATCAAAACCATTTGGATAAACAGGAATGCAGGACTGTAATGTCTTGCTATTCCAATCTCTTTTTATGTTATGATTGATTAAAAAATAAAATAAACAATAAAACTGTGTTATTTCAGTTACATATGAGCTTGAATGTCCACATTCAACAACAATGTGTTCATATTTTTAAACAGTTTCAGGTGATCAGCCCACAAGTAGCCTGTGTTTATAAACCAGTATTGATTGTAATACTTTCAGATTATCAGACAATTTACGACAGAAATAGCCTAGTAATTAAATGACCCTAATTAATGAAGACATGGTGAGAGCATGCAATCTCCACACACACGCTGAAATAGAAGTACAGATTTTCAAACTGATGCTTAAATAAAGCTTAAATAAAGCTTACATCGGTTGGCTACAGAATGAGATAAGTGTTATAAGCTGTCTGAGGCTAATGTATTACAATGCCTTACAGATCCTGGAACAGGACACCATGCAGTTACTGTCTCATAAGTGGACTGATAATGCAGACCTATACACTGCAATACAATACAAAATACAAATTCACTCAATGAAACCCAGTTTCATTGAGTGAACTACTCCTCATATGATAAAAACCTATCGTTCATATAGCCCTAGAAAATAATGTTGCCAATTGTTTTTCCTGGCTTTGAAATAAATAAATAAATAGACTGTGAATGTTAATAAGCCAACAGAACTTGGCTCTTGCTCTGTGATACTCTGAACAAAGGACCGCACATTTAACCTATTAGTTGAGCGCTCCGCGGAGGCGCGCAGTGTGGAGCTCGTTTATGTGCTGCTGCCCCTTTAAGGGAACCATGGCACCTCTCAAGTCGAGGCAGACATTTTTCAATGCAAGATTTTTTCTTGCATAAATTATGCTCATGACGTAGTGCAAAAGGCCAATTTCGAGGCAATTTTGCCCAACTTTTCTGCACAAATGGGACATTATGCGTCACCTTTAGGTTTTTGCGCGGTCAGAAGAGTTTGAGAAAGGACGTCGTCATTAAATATTTAGACAGAGGAGCTGCTAACGCTGCAAACCTCCTTATCAATGCAAATAGGTCTTTTGTGTGCAGTCACAGCGCCTGTCTGGGAGCTGAGGTGAATTTTTAATTATGTGTGACTGAAACAAACTGTGACAGGACCTATCCAAAAGCGGCCGATGACGGCAGACGAGCGTCTCTAACGCGGTAAGTTACATTTAACAACAAGAGTCTATTCTGGGCTGCAGATCGCGTACAGCTCTGAAATGGCGAGGGGGAATCAGTTTGGGTAATATGCAATGCTCGTAATTAGCATAATTTATATATTTATGATAAGAAGAAGGAAATACATAATATTCGCGCTCTGTGCACTGGTCTGCATGTTTCCAGCCGCTCGGACGTGATGTCTCCGGCGTGTGTCCGAAAGTGGCCGACGCGGAGGGACTTTTATTGGGCATATGCGGGCTGGGGGTGGGGAGCTCGGGCTGCTCAAGTTTTGACACATCCTTCCGTGTAAAGGGGCACTGCAGCAGAAACATGTACTCTCAGTTTGATCATTTTATGAACCAGTGCACTTCAATGAGCAATACATTACATTACGTCCTTTCATCAGACATAGGGTCTTGCAGATGATGTAGGCCTCCTCCAAATTAGTATTCTACTCTGTGCATGAGTACCCTACTTAGTTTGCACTGACAGAGCCGATACGTGTAAGCTTGCATATGGAAAGTTAAACATCAGTTTTTATTTTTGTTGGTGTTTGGTCCGTTGTTGTATTCTAATTTCATAAACCCATATTTCAATTACTGCAAACAACAATCACAGTAAATATCACACCCAAAACGTCAAAAGATGACTCTCTTGTTAAAATTAAGTTTTATCCAGGAGCTGTAGTAATCTGAAGGTTGGTGGTTCAATTCCCCACTGTCTGCTGTTATTGGAAATTGTTGTTGTCTCTTTGCGCAAGGCACTTAACTCATGTTGACAATGATTGTTAGTGATTGTGAATGAATAATAGCCTTCTTCAGAGCCCTTTTATAAACTTTAGCCTGTGAAGCTATTATTAATAATCAGAGAGGATTGAGAGCATGTTCCATCTTGTTACCCTCAAATTAAGCACTGGAAATGGCAAAGGATAAAACATATATCCATCTGTAGTGATGAATCAGTTTAATTATTCACACTTAACACACACACGACATCCAAACAGAATGATTAACCGGTTGTGTCAGAGATGATGTTGAGTATTGTTTTGACTTTGGCACAGAATACATGGAAATCATCAAGTCATAACAGAGAACCATGGCCTCCCAGGACCAACCAGCCAAAGATGTGTCACTCACTGTCAATGAGCAAGTAAGTGTCTCACACCATTTAAAACAGCAAGGTGAAAGTAGAAAAGCAGAACAAAACAAAACATATATATTATTAAGACAAGGCTAAAACTCCCTGAGCACATCTTATCAGCTCCTGTAGAACACTGGTTGAGGGTTCTACTACCAAGAGTTTAAAGATGAGGGATAACAAAAGTGTATTTACATTTTCCCCTTTGACATAAGAAGTTAAGCTTATTTTTAAGTTCTCTGTTATTTAAAATAGTTGGTAGGACTGCAACTAATGATTATCTTAGTAGTCCACTAGTCAGAGGTTTTCTTTTTAATTAGTCAGCTATTCAAATGATTATTTTTACTCTCTAAAACTACTTTGCTTTTGATATAAAACCTCTTTTGGCCTGTGCTTTTGAGTCTGTATTGTCCATTAATTGATTATAAAAATTGTTCATTTTTTAGATAGTACTAATTATTAAGTAATTGTTTTATTTGTTGATTTGTCACAATTATTCCAATTAAATATTGCAGCCCTGTTAGTAAGAATACAATACTTAACTTAGAATGTCTGACACTCAAAATAATCCCCCCAAATGTATTTTCTGTAATACGCATAAGCCCAACTTAATGCGCAAATGTTATGTAACACTTCCACAAAAATGAATCATGATGGACCAGTTTTCTCACTCAGAGGACCTGAGATGTAGGCTATACAGGCCTGCCACAATAACACAAATGCGATACAATACTACAGAATTCCATTAATTAAATGAAATGGCAGAATAAGATGCTTAAGTTAATTATTCAACCCTCTGAAACCCAGATGTTATGGTACTACAAAAAACAAAAACTTACAAACTAGTTCAGACACTTAGAAATAACTTGTGATTCTTTGACTTTACATAAACAGACGCTAGATTCCCTAAGAGCCCCAAAAGCAGTGCTATAAAAAGTGTAGCTCGGAAACAAGTACGAAGCCTATGTTTTGTTTTGCTTTTTATACAGAAATCCTTAGAGTTTTCAAAAGTTCAGTCTTTTTCTTAGAACGTTAGCTACTCTCCTATCTCCCACAAATATAGCTTCTCAGGCATCTCTTGGGGCCTACACTTTGTTCATGTTCCTTCTGTCATGTTTTCTTTCATTTCAACTAATAATATCACAAAATCAGGTCACACGCTCCTGATTTACTTTTTGCTTGTTACGGCTGCTGTGCTTAGTAATGCATTTTCTACATTATATTTCTTAAAGCGCTCCTCTCTGATGTGAGCGGGCACGTGAATGCATTGCTTAAGTTGTCCATGGGCTGATGCTGTGTCATTGTTTCATTCATGCTATGGCTGGGCAAAACTAATCAAGATTTTATTGATCAATTATGATTTAAAAAAATAACATTAAAGGATCACTTTGTAACTTTTCAGGCTGTGGGTCTGTCACCTGCTTGTCTCCATGGGGATGCTATTACTTTGCCTCAAATATTCCACAGTATGACATTTAACTTATATATTAAGTACATAACCAGGCCAAGTTACAAGTCAGATCTATGGAGGGGCAAGCCCTCACACAGTAAAAGTGCATGTTTTTGTTTTCAAAATAAATTGAATAATACAAGATGGGTATATTATAAATGCCATTCATCTCCATGGAAACAAGCATGAGACACTTATCAGTATAACTTTCAAATTTCTTCCTCCAAAATGTGAACATGCCTTTGCTGACTGGCTGTCAGACTTCTCTCATTCAAAAGCACCAAAATGATCATTGATGATTTGAAATAATTACACTTTGATTCTGTTTATAGTAAATTAATTGCCCAGCCCTCTTTCATGCAGGTCATTTATTGTTTTTTGTTTATGGAGTCATTGTGTCCTAACACATGTGCTTGGCTTCTCTGTCCTCCAGCCATTCACTGTCTGACTGCAGAAGTCTTTTTTCAGCCATTTAAATCCTGCACTTTGAAATTCCTGCCAAAGACCTCAGGTACAGTGTGCACAGTCTTACTCTCTGTCTCTGTGCGTTTAAATGTTCTTCAGCTTTGGACTGCTGCTCTTGCTCCAGGCCCTCATGATTACATGCCATATTCCATCTATATTTCACTTCACTTCATGTCCAAACAAATGGCTGAGTTCAATAATACCGTTAAATCAGATTAAATGTACTATGTAACTTTTCTAGTGCAAAGTCCACCTCCTGCTTGTTTCAGTGGAGATGTTTTTGCTTTGTATAAAATGTTCCACTGTATGGCATGAGCTTGATGACACATAGCAATAAACATAATGTGACGTAAATGTAATTGTAATAGAAAAATCACAAGATAAGTTTTATTGTTATTGTGGAACATTATAGACAATGCAAAATATCTTCATAGTTGCAGATCTTCCATTAGAAAAGGCCCATATTGTGCTGTAAATTTGATTATAGACACTCCAAGTAATTTTCATACAGTTCAGTAATCTCTTATTTTTTAAAGCTATTACATGCTCTAGTGTGAAAAAACATAAGGTATGTACATTTGCAATCAAAGTACTGAAAAAATAAACTATGATGTATATATATATGTAGGTTAACATTAACACTTGTTTTGTTCTTCACCATCTGTGCCTCTAAAAGAGTGTTTAGCTAATTTGTTTAATGAAATTACAATTCAAATTCTGAACCTTCTGTAGACTTGCCTTTAAGGTTGTAAGGTTGTGCAGATCCAAACTCAAGCAAACCTATCTCAGAATAAAATGGAGGGGGAAATATTCTGAGTTGCATTTGACATGTGCACTGTTGCTCAGGTCATTGTAATGTCCGGACATGAGACCATTCGTGTGCTTGAGGTAGAAGTGGACACGCCACAGTCTTCAACATTACCAGATGGAAAAGGAGAGCCAAAGAGTGAAGATGGACCTACAGAGCAATCAGACAGCTGCACACCACTGGACCAGAGCACAGGGGCAGTGGGTGAGTTAATAATAGTAAATAATAGATAACTGTAATTGGGCAACATTGACAAAAATATTTGGTTCGATTATACTATAACTATAATCACCCTATCTTTATTTTAAGTTTGTGTAATTAATACAATTTAATCTAAAATTTAATTTAAGTAGTGTTTCTGCTTAAATGATCTAAAATAATCTAAAAGTACATTTATCAGCACAGCTATCTTTGATTTAGCTGGTTTGGGAACTAACTAATACAACAAAACTAGCATGGGCAAACCACAATGCTGTGCTGTGATTGGTCAAGATCATAAATGATTACTAAGATGTCTATATCATCCTAGTCTAGTTTCTGGCTGCAATGAACTCAAACACAAATACTGGTCAGCTGAAATGATCTAAAATAGGGTTGTCAGTATGAAAAATCAGATACTAATCAATATTAAAGATTGAAACTAGACTTGTTTGAACTGAAAAATGTCACATTCAGAGCAGAGGACCAAAATTAACCTTTCCTGAATAGCTTTAGAATGAGCTTGAGCTGTATCAGAGGAACAAGTATAAGACCCATAGACTAAGCAAGTGTGACATCACCTATAGTGTTCAGCTCCTCTCAAATGAAGCTCGCGATGCTAATGGTTACAGGGGCGAATTTGGAGCCAGGCTCTAAATGATAAATAGGTTTTTTTTGACAGACAAAATAGCAAAAAAATAAATAAAATAGAATCATGTAGTGTGGGTTAATACAGACATTTTAAGACCAAAATGAGAAGGCTCACAACAGCAGCTAGAGAGAGAGGGATTCCAATGTAAGTCAATGGGAGCCAGGGTCAGATGGAGCTGGAAGAACCCGCATACGAACTTCCTATTTGAATGTGGTGGCTAGCACGTTGACTATGTCCATTTATATATACAGTCTATGATAAGACAACATAAACTAGTACGTAGACACATGGACCACTATGGACCCTACCTGGACGACTGAGGAATTACTCAGATATCGGACCGGTAATATTAAAGGAAGTGCTACAATTTTATCTATTGAAAGAGTGTTTTTATTATTATTGTGGTATTGGAATTGGTATTGGGTATCAAGTTTATTCAAGTTTATTAACATTGAAATTAAGTTTGAAATTTTAGTATAACATCTAAACATCTACATTTGTGTTCTGTTGCAGTTTTGGGTGAGCAGCCAACTCCAGCTCCTCCAGTTCAAACTTTAACCCCCTCTGTCCCCATCAGTGTGTCCCTGCCCCAAGCTCAGGCTACAGTTCCCATCACGGTACAGGGCTGCCCACAGGTAATTTGTTAAAATTATATACTAACATATATAATCATACACTAAAGACCTTTCTATCTTGAGGCTGGGTTTAAGTTTTTTACAAATTCAATGATCGAGTTTAATGAGCTATCTGTATTTTTGATGGAAATACCAAAATTGTGTGTACAGTATGTTGTTGAACTTTATTATTATTATTACTACCTTATTTTTGTTAAATACTGCTACAACTTTTGTGAACTCAGTTAGTATGCATATTTCTCCTATAGTCTATCCAACTTTTCTAGTGAGGTGTTCGCCAGTTCCTTTTCTCCATGGAGATGGATAGCTTTGTCTTTAATTTTCCACAATATGGCACAAAGCGTATATATGTTGCATTTATTTAGTTAGGTATTTAACTGCAAAAAATACCTTGAAAAACATATTCTCACGATAAGGGGGCTTGTATTCCTCTTTCCGTTTTCATTGCAATTAACAGCATTCTAGGAAAAGCAAAAACAGCTCCATGGAGAATACTAGGTTTCAGCAGAAAAGCGACATAGTGCATACAAAAAAAATTGGACAATAAAGCAATGAAAGAAACATGTAAAGTACAGGAAAATAAATGATAAAAACTCTTTTCATCTTCTCAAAGGTACTGACCCAGGAGAGTTTGGCCACCTTGATGACAGGCATGGCACAGGCTGGGACTCTGGGCCAGCCTCTGCTCATCCCACTGAACATGGCGGGGTCTCTGGGTGGACAGGGTAGCCTCGCGGTGCTCACTCTCCCCACCACAAACGTTGCCACGCTCCCGGGGCTTGCTGCAGCCACTACAGCAGGAAACCTGCTCAAACTGCCCTTTGCTGGGCTCCAAGGTACCAACACTTATGGATGTCAAGATTATGATTGATGATTTGAAACTACTAGTATATGTTTATTATCTATTTATTTGCCTACCCCTGATACCACATTTTTACTTTAATTTGTTTTATTGCTCAAAGATGCCTTGGAAAACATAACTTTTCTGTGGTTGGGGTTAACTCTCCACAGGTCTGCTCTGTAACTTGGCCTGATGATGTCACTTACTACATTAAAGTGCTTTGAGTGCCTTGAAGGTGGAAAAGCGCTATAAAAAAATGTGACCATTTAGCATTTACATGGAGAGTGACAAGTTAGATGCCATTTTGTGCAATATTTCAGGCAAAGCAATAACATCTCCAAGGAGTAACAGTAACAGTACTCCTATTTGAGTAAATGTTTTTCTTACTCTTCCCACTGTGAGTAAGTTTACAACTGAGAAAAGCTTTAGGCTGACAATATGAAATGATTGGAACCTTTATGTTTCTTGAATGACTCCTTTAGATATAGTGTGTTTTTTTTTCTTATTTTTGTGTCTGTCCTTAGAAAACACCAAATGTTTGTTTTTTCCTACAAATTATAAAACAGTTACTCTTTAAGTTACTGTTACTTGAGTAGTAGTAGTTTTTCCAAATAATTTTCACTCTTCCTTAAGTAATTTATTGTATTTCTACTTCTATTTGAGTAATATTATTTTGAAGTAACATTACTCTACAATCTTTGGCCATTTGTCCATATCTTCCATTAGCTGCTGCAGTGTTGAATTCAGTGCAGCCTCAGCTCCAGACCGGTACACAGGCGGTTTTCCCTTCTCCCGCCGCTCAGCCTGTTCAGTCCCAGGCCCCACCCACCCCGGTTTCTACGGCAGCAGCCCCCATGCCCCCCGCCTCCTCCGCTGTCTCCCAGTCTATACCTGTGGCTGCTCTTCAGACTGCTGGCCTCTCCATCAACCCAGCCATAGTAAGACACCTTTTTGCACTAAACTTGATTAGGCTTTGGCCTTTTTTTGTGATAATGAGATTAAACATTTTACTTTTGTCATATATGTTTTGTTTTTAAAGGCATTATACCTGATTTATACTGCTGTAAAAGTCTGAAAAAACACTACTTTGCACAGATTGCAAACTTATTCCTCAGTGTTGTAATGCATTCCTAGCATCCTAAATATTCACTGTGATAAGTTTATTATCTTGTTTTAACAATAAATTAATATTCTGAAATCAGGTTGATCGTCAGTGCAGTTATGCTTAACTTGGTTTGAGCCCACATTACTTTTGATGTCTGACTCTCTTTTTCTGTCCAGTAATGCTGAAGACTGTGTTACTTAGTTTGGTCCTGTTTGGTCTAGTTCAGATTTTGTGTCAGATTTAGTCCCATATTTAGTCCCAGATCTTGTATATTTTCTTTAAATATTTTTCATGAAGTTTGTTACTTTATGTTTAGATTAACGCTGCCACCCTTGGAGCACAGACTCAGTTCCTCGGGTCCATCGCCTCCACTCCGATCTTCACCAACGCCATGTCCAATATGGCTGGAATCACTAGCCAGATTATCACCAACGCCCAAGGACAGGTGAGTGTTAAATCCATTCTTTCTAAAAATACACCTCAACTGCACATTTGTGTGTCTGTCTTCACATTGCACACATACATGAGAGACAGGAGAGAGGATGATGCACCAGTTTATTTTAATGTGATTAAAGGAGATAAATAGACGTAATGCCTTATTCGTTATTCTTGCATAACTGTTTTCTTTCCCAGGTGATAGGGACCCTGCCGTTGTTGTTGAACCCCTCTCTGACGGGCGCAACCCCCACCCTCCCGCTGCAGGGGCTCCAGGGGCTCCAGGTGCAGACGGTTTCACCTCAGATCCTGTTTAATAACCAGGGCCAGATCATCGCTGCAGTGGGAAACGGACCAGCCACAGTCGCCTCCTCCGCCTCAGTGCAGCCCAAGACCACTGCAGCTTCACTTCTGTCGAAGTCTAATGCCCAGGTAAACTACATGGAAAGTACTAGGAAATCTCTGCTGGGTTTTATCAGCCATGTTAAATCATGTTAGTTATCCTACCACTCAGTCAACATAAAACAATGTAATATGCAATATAGCAATCTGAAACAACAAATCACCATATTGGCTAATTTGATTTGTTGTGTGATTAGGGCCACAAAGCAAGAGAATGGACCTTGTCATTAATTTTAATGATCAGGTTCTTTTTATTGTATTTTGTAGTTTGTTTATTTATTTGTTTTGTTTTCAGGCAAATGACTCCTTCCTGATTTGAACAATTTTGTTAGGTTAGTTTATTTCCCATTTGTAGTTAAAAAACAAACAAACCACAGATTGAAAACAACATGTGTAAAAATCTCAATGTGCACCATGAGACATTAAAAACAACCATACAAACAAACAATAGATCAACGTTACAGATGACAGATTGACGCTGTGAAATAAACAAGATACAAAGATTAAGTAACTAAAACATTAAGGTACGACATCAAATTTGACATTATTTTCAAATTAAAATTGATTAGGAGTGTTGATTGCAGTGATTCTTTAATCAAGTGGTTCAATTTTACTATCATGTTCAATGTATATTTTATTTATTAGAATAAGTCATATATAAAAAAAAAAAAAAAAGATTCAGGACTACAGCCTACTGTCTTCTGTCATCACATTCTACAACCTGAAAACACCAGTGCACTTTTTATGGATGGTGAATGTGATGTATTTTTAATAATGTGTGGGTCTGTTTGCTGCAGGCTTCTATTACTGCTGTCAGTCAGTCTCCGGTTGTCATTGCACCCTCTCCCTCTGTTCTGAAGTCTGCCCCCACACTATCCTCCACTGGGCCCATCACCTGTGCAGATGTGGCCAAAGTGGGACAACTCGTCAACAGTGCGTATACTCTGTGTTACTGTCCAAGCCCTATTTCTATTTTAAGAGCAGATATTTTTAACCATTTTCTCTCTTTTCACAATGCAGAGCCCCAACCTGCAGTCAGTGGTGAGGAAGGCATTAATCTGGAGGAAATTCGAGAGTTTGCCAAGAATTTTAAGATCCGCCGTCTGTCCTTAGGGCTCACACAGACACAAGTGGGACAGGCTCTAACCGCGACTGAGGGCCCAGCGTACAGCCAGTCTGCTATCTGCAGGTGTGTTCTTATGAAAGTAACGGTGGATATCAGTATTCTGGCAGAAGACAGACTGACGTGTGAGACAAGTACTACATATAAATCTGGAATCACTCCTGGTGAAGCTGCCCTGCAAGAGGCGTTCAGTAGAATATTTCCAGCTTATTGGGTGAAATAACATAACGTGAGGAGCAGGCTGATGAATCAAACTTTTGCCTAATGCAGCTAAGAGATATTTTTACAAATGCACAGTGAATAGGAAATATTATACTAAAACCAGAAGTTATGGTTCTGCAAAAATTGAGTCAACAGCAACTTACATATTTGCGCTGGCATCTCTATGTTTGGTTTAGTTTATTTGGGTGTTTCTGCCTCCAAATACTGCCCTGTAATCACTTATGATCTGTCAGTGAATTTAACTCCAGTGTATCAGCAGCATCGCCTTTGGTTTGCTTATCCAGTGAATGGAAACATTTCTCTGCTAGCTCTACTAATTCATCCACACCATGTATTCCAACAATTGATTACTAAATGCCAATAACATCTGTAATATAATCTGTAACCACAATATCATTTTTAGGTATGTACTCTTATAATCTTTATATAATAAAGATAAATGACATCAATTAAATGACATAAATTTTGTGATTGAATTTGTAATGTCTTGATCCCACAGATTTGAGAAGCTGGACATTACCCCCAAAAGTGCTCAGAAACTCAAGCCCGTTCTGGAGAAGTGGCTGGCTGAAGCAGAGCACTGGAACCAGAAAGGACAGCAGAATCTGATGGAGTTTGTTGGCGGAGAACCTTCAAAAAAACGAAAACGTAGAACCAGCTTCACTCCCCAGGCTATCGAAGTCCTCAACTCCTACTTTGAGAAAAACGCACTCCCGACTGGTCAAGAAATTACCGAAATTGCACGAGAACTGAACTACGACAGAGAAGTAGTACGTGTTTGGTTCTGCAACAGACGCCAGACTTTGAAAAACACAAGTAAAATCAACGTCTTTCAGGCTCAACAGTGACCTCTTCTAACTCCACTAACTTTTTTGTCCTGTTGGTTCATGGATTTCAGTGTAATTCAAAGTTTGGACTCTTGCCATAGCAATAAACAACTAACTAGAATATACTAAAATGGTCAAATGTTCTCAAAATGGCACCCATAACAGGACACTGACACTAATGAATATAAATTGCAAACTGTTTTTTGAAAATGAAGGAAATTATATTGTTATTGCTACATTTCAACGCTGTCTACTACTATAGTTACTACTTCTTTCTTGTTGTCAAATCAAGTAAAACTGCATGACCATATTATATACAGTGATAATAATGTTAGCTTATGTTATTTAAACACATCTTTACAGCTTATACATTTAAAATCTATTTACATGTTTTACATCATTTTACATTAACTTGAATCTGAATCTGAATCTACTTTTTTCTTATCCACAGCCTCCTACCTGTAAGTGTTACAGTGTTGTCATTTATTATACTTTTAAAATTGGTACTTTGGTTGGTGCTAAAGAGTTTGTTGTAGGCCAAAAATTGTATTCTAAATTTCTTTTGACAATCATTTCATCATGAACTTTCTTCAGTTTACCCAATAAGTAAGGATCTTACTATTGTATTCATTTTAAACCATGTATGTCCAAAAATGCTCTGACATGTTTTGCTCATATAAGGTATAAATACATTTCAGTAGTCTCATTTCAAATGAATTCAAAGGGTTTATGTTATGTCTATGTCACTCCTTTTTTCCTTTATTGTACTTATTTTATGTACTACCTTCCTCTTTGTATTTTTGTAAGTTATATTAACAGCTTCAGTGATCCTAGCTTGTCTAATGCATCAGTGCCACATTTTTGTGATATTGTTTTATTTGTATATTTTAAGACAAGGTGTATTTGGTACTTGTAAAAGTAATATGCATTTATTGTTGTGGCCATAGGTTTGGTCTGTGCATGTACAGTATAAAAGTATCCTTTGAAAGGACAATATAAAGGCAGTTTTTTCCTCTCGTTTTGCACTTAAAAACATTTAAGATGAAATACTGTTTTTGATCTGCATTGCTTTGTAAAAACTGTAACATTACTCCAATTGCCACTGTCATGTCAAATGTATCTTTTATAAAATGAAAAATACTGCACATTAAATATACTAATATAAATAATAACTATGCCTAATAGAGCATGCGTGAAGGCAAATTTTTGAGTGTTGATGTTGATTGGAGGGGCTGATGGTGCAAATTGATGCTCGCTTCTGTCAGTCTGCCTCAGGGCAGCTGGGGGTATCTTGCCACTCTCGAGTGAGGAATGAATGGATATTGTACTGTAAAGCGCTTTGGGAGTCTTGAAAGGAGCTACACAAATCCAGTGATTGATTGACTGAAAGCGCATTGAGTGTCTTGAAAGGTACATTAAATAAGTAGTCTGTCTTATTAGGGTCCATCCATGGATTTCATTTTCGCTATGATGGAAAATTAAGACCATTGCCATAGCAAATGTCAGTTTAGAACTAAATGTCACCTATGGGAAGCTGAAACCCATGAAGAATAATGCCAGTAGCACTTCCACACTTCCACAGTAGAGAGCAGTAGAGTGCCAAATCCATTCACGTGCGCGATAAACCTATGCAAAGAAGAAGATCTAGAACGGCAGCGTTATTTCTTTGATAAACAAACAAAAACTTAAACATATTTGTCATTTTAACGACTCGACATCCGTTTATTATAAGCACATTCTGAATAGGTGTAATCGTGTGGGTGCAAAACTACGGGTATGTCTCGCAGTGTTTATAACTTTCACTAAAGGCTAGGAGAGCTAACGCGGCTAACAGCATACGCACTGTGTTAGCGCATCATGTTTTTTATTCTGGTGCTGAAGCCAAAAAGAGCGACATGATGGCGTGAAACTGCATTTGAAGAACCTCAGATTATCTTTTTTGAACGGTGAGTATTGTTTATTTTTCTAATCTATTATTTGTTGTTTGTTAAATTTTAATAGATCTTGTTTATAAGTTGCAGACAATGTGGACTGGCATTATTCACAACTGTTACAAAAGAGCTCACATTTGTCTGTCATTTTTCACTCGTAACCAAAATATAATGAAACTGTAGGGCTGCACAAATTTGACAAACGAACTTATGGCATTTTTTTCTGACCAGTATTACAATTGTGTTTAGATTTGTGATAACTGTGAGTTTAAAAAGTAGTATTCAGTGCATATTGTAAATAACTCTAACTAAAATATGTAGTAGGCCTACTGATGGAGTAATACAAGAATCCCATGAATTTCAGAACGTGTTTGTAGAAGTCTAAATGAGTCTAAAGTGCAACAGGATTTCTCAATATAAAATATAATTTTTGTCAGTATATAAAATTGCAGCGTTTGTGGTTTCATGATTAATTTAAATAGCATTTTGTGCAGCCCTATTAGTCAGTTTTCTTTATAACTTTAACATATCACTGATGTTGTTTGCTTTTGTAAAGATGTAATAATATAACCAAAATGTTATTATCTTTAGGAACAGCATTGGGTGCTGTTGGTCCCAGGTAAAAACACCTGCCTGAAGTGTTCTACTCTCTGTAGTCCCTCACTGGAGCCATGGCGTGGGCTTTGAAGCTGCCTCTCACGGACGAGGTGATCGAGTCCGGACTGGTGCAGGATTTTGATGCCAGCCTCTCGGGAATAGGCCAAGAGCTTGGCGCGGGGGCATACAGCATGAGGTACAGAAATGTGTCTGTGCTTGTAGGACTGCAAGATTAATCATCATATCAAAATTGCAATAACAATGGATGCAATAAGCAAACTGAAGAGGCTGCAATTTTTAAAGTAACAAAATATTCCATCTTACTCTGCTAACTTTGTAGTTCTGTAGAAAAAATTTATTTTTGTATTAGTTTGTCAGTTCATCTTTCAGTCTTTATATCAGTTCTTCTGGACGTGTTATATGAACTTTGACCAAAATATTATTATTGAAACAGATCACAGTCGCAATGCTTACCTAAAAAATTCAATATTTTTCCAAAGTCATTCAGCCCTAGCTTCTAGTTTACCTGTATAAAAGCCATTTATTGTGTGGGCTATTTTTAATGTAGGTAAAATCTGAGGCCTACACCTGAGGTTGGTAGACAACTGGTGCAATTCCTCTGTTGTAAAGAGGGGCTGTGCACAGTTTAGTGACCATGGCATTCCAGCCTCTCCCATGTTTGTCTTCTTGCTCCTGATAATGTAGCTCTGTAGCAGCAGATAGCTCAGCATCTGGTGTAATTGATTGCTGCAAAATGTCATTTTCTGTATTACCACCTTAGGGTGGGCAATATGACAAAAAAAAATAATAATTTTGCTATTTTCTTGAGCTATATCAGACTTTTGATTTTATCAATGTACACATTACATTTCTCTCATCCCTTTAAGAGGTTAATAAACTAATCTGCTTCTTTTGAAAGTTCACACTTTGTAACCATTCTAACTGGTTAAATCCAGCTGTATCTTACAGACACTAACCATTTTGGAGAAATGGGTGGGAAAAATTTCTGGGTTTGATCAAAGCACTGCATTAAATGGAGAAATGGTGAATGATGATTTCTCAATATGACCAAAATAGCAGATTGCCACATGAATTCAATCATGATTAGATTTTTAGCAGTATATTACCTGATGTATTTGTTAATCAGTAACTAACTATCACTTTTCACTTGTCTCCAGCGATGTTCTGGCTCTTCCCATTTTCAAGCAGGAAGAGTCTAATCTCCCTCCAGACTCAGAAAATAAGATCCTTCCTTTTCAGTATGTCCTGTGTGCAGCTACCTCCCCGGCAGTTAAACTGCATGACGAGACACTCACCTACCTCAACCAGGGTCTGTGCCAGAAGCACTCACATCACAACCTTGGATGTAGTTCTATTTTCTAAACAAAATTCACTCTTACTTTTTTAGGCCAGTCCTATGAAATTCGAATGCTTGACAATCGAAAAATTGGTGAACTCCCTGAAATCACTGGTAAAATGGTGAAGGTATGAAACTATATTTGATGGTATTTGTAGGCTTTTATGATCATGGACATTCATTTAAACATGCATCTTCACAAATGACAAAGATAAATTTTTTCAGAGCATTATTCGTGTGGTGTTTCATGACCGGCGGCTTCAGTACACAGAGCACCAGCAGCTCGAGGGCTGGCGCTGGAACAGGCCTGGAGATAGAATACTTGATCTGGGTGAGTGCTAAAACATTAAAAAGATATTTCAACTGTTTGGCTATAGTATAACTGTATTACAACATTTAAACATCAGGATTTGTTGAGGCACATTCTTGTTATAATTTAAATAATATGTGATAATATTAACTAAAATGGAATAAAAACAGGGAAGTGTAATGTTTAAGATAACACAAACAGTATATTTAAACATTTATAGACAAGAACAGATACAATGTTGAGACATATTCTTGACCACTGTACAAAATTGTTTTACAGATATTCCCTTGTCGGTTGGCATAATCGATCCAAGATCCAACCCTACTCAGCTCAACACTGTGGAGTTTCTGTGGGACCCGTCAAAGAGAACCTCAGTTTTTATCCAAGTAAGAAAAATTGACAACCCATTCACCTATGTGTACAATTTGAATGTTTCTTTGTACCAGAATATTAATATGAATTGTATATAATTGTTTTAGGTTCATTGTATCAGCACAGAGTTTACAATGCGCAAGCACGGAGGAGAAAAAGGCGTACCTTTTCGGGTTCAAATAGACACTTTTAAAGAGAATGAGAACGGTGAATACACAGAGCATCTTCACTCAGCCTCCTGCCAAATCAAAGTCTTTAAGGTAAGATAAATACTTTAAAACTGGTGTGTGAAAACAAGTGATGAACCAATACCAGTATTGATATCTGTGGTGGTACTTGAAAATGTAGTCAGTGGGGTATCAATTCCCATTTTGAGAACCAGCTTCAACCCAGTAAAAATTGAGATCTGAAAGCCCATTTTGTAAGGCTCAGAACCTACAGATTTTAGTCACTAGGTTTACTATATAATGTTTAGCTGTTGTAAAGTTACTTTTAAACTGTAAGACCAAGACGTGCCTTTTCGCACAATACTTTACAAGACAATAAAACATAGTGAACTATTTGCAGTGCCCCACACTGGCATAACCCATTTTGATTAAGTGTTAAGTGTTAAGAACTCTTATTTTAGGAAGTTTTGTCTTACCGTTTTTATGAAGCCAAAGGCAATTTACAACTGAAATTGTTCAAGATCAATAGAGGTCACAGATTTTTTGTATATAAAAATTAAAAATGAAAATAGATCACACAGAACTGAAAACAAACATAGCAACAGCTTGCAGAGGTACATATATCTGAAATGAATTAGGAGATTCTCACATAGACACAGACGGTAAAAACTCAATAAGGGATTGTCACATTTTCTGAAATGACATTAGTTTGTTCTTTATTATTTTATGAAGTTTAAATAAGCTCTTATATGACTGTTGTTGTTTTAGCCCAAAGGAGCAGACAGGAAGCAGAAAACGGACAGGGAGAAGATGGAGAAGAGAGCCCCTCAAGAAAAGGAGAAGTATCAGCCCTCCTATGAAACCACAATACTAACGGAGGTCAGAGCTCTCGGTGGTTCTCAAACTTTTCACACCAACCTGGGGTTGGCTGAGATACCTTTTAAATGGACTAACATAAAGAAAGCTAACAATGTGAATAAAATTGGCACAGTTACTACCCAAACTACCACAATTTGCATCCACACACTGTTTGAGAACGATTTAGTATACAACATAAATTAGCTCAAGAAATCAATTGTTTTGTTTTGCAGTGCTCTCCTTGGCCTGAGGTGACGTATGTGAATAACTCCCCCTCTCCTGGTTTTAACAGCACACACAACAGTTTTTCTATTTCTGAAGGGTGAGGGAAATACTACTACTAATCACTTATAATTTTGTTGAGCTGCAGTTTAACATCATCTTTTTTTTTTTTTCAAGAAATGGATCACCCAGCCACCAGCCTGAACCTGTTGTCCCAACTGCTGATGTAAGTCTTTGTGTAAGTGTTTTAACCCCCAAGCAGTACAGATTTACATTGAGTTCAGAATATTATAACAGCCAAAAGAGAAATTATGCTCTTGTGATTTAATATCTTGCAGCAAGGAAAGTCATAATGCCGAGTTTGACTAAAGATTCACTATAAATAAATACAAAAATACTTTGACTTGAATGTTCCACAGTATGACATTAAACTTCTTCTCTCCATCTCAATGGAAACAAGCAGGTGACACCGGCAGGCCAATTTATAGGTCAGATCTATGGAGAGGCAACACAGAAATCTACTGTGAGTATAAAAACACCTGTAATTGAATGATAAATGGATATGTTTAATGATATATTGTGGAACATTTCAGGTAAGCAATAACATCTCTGTGGAAACAAGCAGGCAGCGGCCACTAGAAAATATACATAGTGCTCCTCATTTACACAATTTCTTAGCTAAAAATATTTTTTCTTAGACTGACCTAAAAAGAGTCAAATTTTTCTCAATAATTTCTTCTCAAATTCTTAAAAATTGTAAAGTCTATTGATCGTGAAATTATTTGTTTTACTTTTATTAAATTAGGACACATGATTTATGTAATTCTTAGTATGCTTTAGCTTGGTTTTATAAGTTTAATTCTGTATTTTCTTGTAGAATTTGTTACCCACGGCAACACCACAGGATGCTCAACAATGGCTCCTTCGAAATCGCTTCTCTCCTTTCAGTCGGCTTTTCACAAACTTCTCAGGTACAGAGTCTTCTTTTGCAGTGACCTCAAAATTAAATTAAAGATGAAAATGTCAAGTGTGTGTTTAATATGCCACAGGAGCAGACTTGTTGAAGCTGACAAGGGAAGATGTAATCCAGATCTGTGGCCCAGCGGATGGCATAAGACTATTCAATGCATTAAAGGGGAGGTATGTTTTGTTTTTTTTGTACACTACACTAAGCACTAAAAATAACAAAATGAAAATTGCATTACTCAGTTCTCTAACCACAAATGGAGGAAGTAGGTATTTTAATCTATCCAACTAATTCTTAGTTTTAACAAAAATTTTGGCTAGCTGGACAGATTTTTTGTCCCAAGAAGTGAAAACTGGTGTGGACCGTCAACACTCAGTCTATTGTAGAGCTGTAATTGCGTCATACTTCCGGGTTTGCAATTAACAACAGACAGCACATGGAGGTCTGATTTTGTCACAAAGAACTGCTTTTAAAATATAAATTTTAAGCGGAAAATGTGACTCACTTACAAGAATAATGTACGGTTGGGTTTTTTCTTCTGTTTTAATGTTGGTAAATTCTTACTTGGAAAGTTGTTGTTATTATTATAGAAGGATTATTAGATTATAGAAGGTTTAAGCATCGTAACTTTCAACTTTTTTTTTAATGGAATGTATATTATGGTCAAAGGTGAGATTAAATGACTGAACTTTTTTTTAAATTTAAACCTAAAAAGATTGGTCATCTCATAACTTGGTGTTTGTGTCACAGGGTGGTGCGTCCCAGACTGACCATCTACGTCTGTCAGGAGTCTCAGCAGTCACCTGATCAATCAAAACATGAGAACGGAGACGCTGCTGCTTTTTTTGGTTTGTTAGATTTGATCACAACTAATCACATGCTTCAAAAATAGATATGGGACATCAACCAAAAAAACATGAACTCTGAATACTAATGTTTTTTGTAAATTAATACTAAGAATTGGAACTATGGATAGCATGATCTTAATTCAGGACAAAAACATAGGATTATCATCTTCAGGAATTAAGTGACCTCCAGTTTTCTGTCAATATTCATGATATACACAGTAATGCAATTCAAAACCCCCACTCTATATGCTGGCACAATATAGTGCCTTTGTGTTCTTTACTGGACCCACCCTTAAACCAGCGCCTCTGGGAAAACTGTCAGGAACAGTGCGCCGCTTGAGGACCTCCTTTAGATCTACAGCTAGAATCTTGAGCAAGATTATCTTCCTAGTTTAATCAAAGTAGGTAATACTAGACTAGGATTGGGACTACAAGGCCATGGACTGAACCAGGGCTATAAAGGTACAAAACCAAGTAGACTGTTGCCGACTTGCCCTGTGCATTAAATTGTCAAATAAGACAATTGACACAAAGTGCAGTGGCAAGATGAGAAAAGTATTGGTTAATTGCATATTAATTGCTCCTATTTCTACTTCATTTATACTGTCCATATAAAAAAAATAAATTAATTGGCTAAACAGCTAAAGGAGGATGACAGCCTTTAGCCAAGTCTGCATCAGGATGTTAAAAGGTCTCAAACCAGGACCAAATTAGGAAAAGTGTGACTCCATCCAATACCATGGAGTTACCAGTTAGGCATGTTAATTGCCAATTACCTTACATTACATTTAGTATTTTACAAATCACCTATGTTCCTTGTTCTGCCCACAGTATATCATGCCATTTACCTGGAGGAGCTCACTGCAACTGAACTCACTGAGAAAATTGCTCAGCTCTTCAACATCTCTCCCAGACAAATAAACCAGATCTTCAAACAAGGTCCGACTGGTATCCATGTACTGGTCAGTGACGAGGTAAGAACTGCGTCAGACTGTTTAATGAAATCTTGGTTTACTTTATTAATATTATAACCATGTGTTGTTGTCTCTGTTTTATTTACAGATGATCCAGAACTTTCAGGATGAAGTCTGTTTTATTCTGGACACAATGAAAGGTATTTGGCTATAACTAATAAGAATGTAACACTATACAAGTCTGTCATTGTTTTTATCATGTTTTCATTGCAATACTTTTCAATACAATCTCAATCGCAATACAATCTTTGTTGATATATTTAGAACACTGGGGTCTTAAAGTTCTTCTGTGTAACTGCTTTGTCACTAAATTCCGCTGCATTGTATTGAGCAACCTAGACTTCCCATCTGAACTGCAGCTTGGTCTTGTGGTTGCACCTGCTTGTTTAGATAGACAGATAATTTAAATGTAACAGTAATTTTATGTTGTACTAAAATTAACAAAGATAACTGTATTTGTAGTTCATTCTGCAGTGTGAAACAAAACTATGTATTTTAGACCCACGAGTTTACCATTGTGTATTTTGAAATAGCAGAAAAAAATATACTGAGAGACCTTTGATAGTTCCTTCTTTACAATATTGGTGGTTTTCAGATTCTAGAATGTGGTGGCAAAAGCCAGTTTTTCCTATTGATAACATTTCATAAGAAATATTTTGAATTTGAATTCACAAATTTTGAACCAGACCATTTCTATTAGTGATCTGAGCCTAGAACCTTCTATATCACAACAAAAGCCTGTTTTTCAGTAAAATATATGGCTGCCCAAATCTGTATAAAATATTATTGGCCTATAGAATGTTGTGTTGTCATCTGAAACCCAGCAATCGTGACATTTATAGCAGACCAGTTATAAACCTAAGCAAGTATTGCCTGAATAACACCACAATTTCTTAATTTCTAATTTTCACTTTTTTGTAGATGAAACCAGTGACGGTTACCACATCATCTTAAAGTGATGCATAGGCAGAAGAAGAGTTGAGAAGTGCTGCTCTTTTGTGTAGACCTGGTTCGACCTGCCCCTTCAGAGCTCCACAGGGCTGAAGCTGGTCCCGAGACAAAGGGAGGAAGCCTGAAGAACGTGTTTTGAGACTGCCAAGTGGTTGCACCTAAAAATCCTCTCTCCTGCTCAGCTCAACTCCTATGACTCTTTGAAAGGAGGGGCTCTGTACCACCTTGAAATGACTTTTGCCCATTTTGCCCTAACTGTTTTTGTTGTCAACTGCTGTATGTTTTTTACTATATCTGTTTCAAAGCACAACAATCTTACACCACAAAAATATTCTCTTCAAAAGTTAAAATGCCTTGAATTCAGAGTTGACTAGTTTTGGTGAGTTTGACTTAATTTACAACCAAGGTCTAGATTTGGAGCCTGTAAGATATTTCTAAGTGATGTCTTTTCAGACAGTTTTCAAAGCGTTTGAAAAGGAATTGCTCTTCATATTGCACCATGCGCAAGCTGCAATACTGGAGTAGTAGTAACTGGGAAGTTACAATGGTGTCTTGCTTAACACAACAGCTCACAGTTTTGTTTTGTTCTGAAGCTTTTTTGCTTTTTGTTTTTTGTCAAATGCATTTTAATAGCCTGGGATCCAGACTGGCTCTCTGTATATTCAGTACAGAAGCTATCAATTCAGTCCTTTTATACTGTTCCCTTTCCTCTTTTCAAATGATACAAACCATACAGACAGGCCATGTGTGGCCCTAATTGGCTAATCCATCTGTCAGTCACTCCCATCTGAACTCAGATGTATTGGAGAAATCTGAAATACTGTTAAACAAATCTAACCATCTGGATTTGATGTAAATACACCTAAAGTAGTAAAAATGCCACATATAAAAGTCGCTCTGAATTCAAGATATTTTAAAGGTGCATTGCATAACTTCTGATGGATATAGACTACCTCCTTGTCTCCACAAACTTTAAATGTTACACAGTATGGGATTAACACATCTATCCAACATTTATTAAATTCTGTGTATTTTACTGCTCAAAAATACATTGAGAAATCCAGACTGTAACTGTACTTGGTCTAATGGCTCACTTCGTCTCCATGGAGATAGACAAGTTTAATGCCATACTGCATTGAACTTGCAGCAAGCAATAACAACTCAAGGCAAGAAGGTGATAAACATCCCACTAGAGAAGTTACACAGCGCATCTTTAAATAGTAAATATTTTTGCAGTGTTAGAATGACTTGCAAAGACTCCTAATCCTAGTATCCAAAAGTATTACAACCTAAACTGTTATCTTCAGTGGATATTGAACCTTGTTGAACTTTTGAAAATGGACTTCGCACACTGTCAAATGTTTTATTATTTAATTTTATTTTACAAGTCTCAGATAATTATATAAAAGATTTAAAACACTGTCTTTTGCAGTGAAAACAGTGGCTTCACCAGCAAACCTATAACCTAAGTTCATGTGCTTCCTATTCTGGAAATTTCATGTTGTTTTTAATACATGACTGATTGTGTTATTGTTTTGTATTGTTCATTATAATCATGAGTTGCCTTTTTAATTGCCATGTTTGATAATTTGTTAACACCATCACCCCCTCCTTGTCCTTCATTATAGGTTCTGTTTGACATGAAATGAAAAACTAAACGTGTTGCATATGTGAATATGGTCTCTTTATGTTCATTGTACTGCCTATAGGAAATCTAGCTGTTTACCCTCTTCTGAGCATTAAAAAAACAGTTACAAATACTAACTTTTGTTACTGTACTCTCATAGTTGAATGACTTGGATGATTGTAAGCGTCACATATAACATATATAGCCAACTAAGCAAAATACTTGATTATTAAGTAAGAGATTATTTTTATATTTGGTAACATTTAAGATTAGGGACCACACATTGATAGCTAACAAACTGATAGTAACAAAGTAGGTAGTAGTTATTCAGGTTTATGAAACTATTTAATGCCTATTAAGATTATTGTGTATGTATACAAAAGCATATGTTGCCAATGATGCTATTGAATACCAATCAACTGTAAACTATTCATAGAAAGAAACAGATATTGGCCATTAACAAAAAAGCATTTATAAGTACTTAACATAAATACAAAAAAACAAAAACCTAAGACATAATTAAGTACTTAAAATGCATTTTTACTACTATTCAGTAATATGTGCAGTAATATGAGATCTAAAGTGATACCTTGTGGTAAATGGTGTATTTATTCAGTATAATTCTACAATAGGTCCAACTATAATTGAAACACACTAGCAAACATATATTCTAGGCAAACTTTGTGTCTGGCAAAAAAAATCTGGTCTGACTTTTGAAAATCAATTTGTCAGTGCCAAATGATGATGACCACCTATATATAATATAGGCTATTTATTTATTTGAGAGACTTTGCTGAATGGGATACAACACTACACCTCCCAGCATGCTCCTGTGCACCCTGTGGTCCTGACGTCATTTGGGTATATAAAGGGCTGCAAGGGGAGGAAAAAAAATCTTCCTCCATTGTTACACTGTAACAACCGGGGCCGGGTCGAAACGGGGCGAAAAGCGTCTTCTCGTTGGAAAATCCTGCAACGAACTGACACCAAATTACACCAACGGAACCGCGTTAGAACGAGAAGACAGCGAGAGGAAGACCCGCGACCCAACCCGGCCCGGACACACGGAGGATAAGCGAACACAGATGTCAGCGGATTTTCCCATTTTCTCCCAAATCAAGACTCTGCCCCTAGTAAGAAGAAGACACCGGGTTGTGCGTAATAATTAAACCAATCTGGAAATGTTGGCTATGAAACGGTGCATTTGAAGACTTTATAACCTGCTGTCTGCCTTTTAATAAACCAGGAATGCATCATTTATTTCAACCCTGCAGGTTTTACAGGCTGTCAGTAGTACATTTAAGCCATTGTTGAGAATAGAACAATGACCTCAGAGCTTTGGTGACTTTACAACGCTTTTTACGCATTGCATTTTGACAATCAGCAAAGCTTGGGTGCGCTCGGTTGCTGTCTGGTTGCTCGGTTCACAGTTAAAGTATTTTTTGGCACGCACAAAACTGCTCCTATAGGGCGTCGCAAGATTCATGACCAGCGCGTCTTGGCAAAAAGAAACGACCTTCTACTACGTCTCGCCTGGAATAAGGGTCCCCTTCACTTTACCAGGTAAGGAGATGGTGTAGAATTGCGTTTACCGGGCGCTTTGCCATTGTGCGCCTAGCTGTGTCGGTCTTCTTTGTATGTGTGTGTGCCTGTGTGTGTGGCACGTGTGTGTGTGTTGAAACCGGGGGGCTGCTATAGGTTTTGCAAAAGGGGAGGGGTGGTCGAAACATTTGCCTGACAGATAACATCTAACCTCCCCCAACACAGCTGCAACCGGCCTAATGCACACACTCCAAGTTATGTGACAGTGTTTGACCCAATGCTAAACGCAAGAGACAATTATCTGTAAACCTACTTCAGCTTAAATTTCACCAGACCTTTTGTGCATTGATCTTCACTAAAGATACGAGATACTGCTGTGTAATAGGTCTATATGTTAGAAGTCATAAATAAACTAACTAGGCCTACTAAAGCCTATTAAAATAAAATAGCTCAGTTACCACAAACCTTCACCAAGGATAGAGGGTATTCACTTGTCTACACTGAGGTTAATAGAAAAACAAAGTAGATTTATATATATATTGCATTTCAATAGGTACAAATATTTGTGTCATTACCTTAAATAGGCTAGTCATTACAATTACAAAGTGCCTATAATCCAAACCTTCATGCAAACTATATAGACTATTGAACTGTCAACACTGAGGTTTAGATTTGAATATCAGTGAAAACATTTACTTTCTCTTTGGGTAATTGCCTGCACTTTGCATCACAGAATCAATGACCCAAGCAAATAGTTGTTTAGGAGCATTATGGGTGTGAAGATAAGTTGATAAATGGATTTTTAATGCACATTACACTGTAAACACATTGTAATTGGATGGAGCAGTCTTCATAAACAGTTATATTACCATGAAATAAAGCAGAATGACAGATAGGTCTTGTTACCACGGTCATGTAATTACCATAGTTACTCATTTTGATTCAGATTATTCGATTAAGGATGCATTCATACTTGTTCTTGTTAGGTCTTGGTTTGAATCCAGGTTGGTCCAAATATAGAATCGGTTTGGTCCTGTTCTAGTTCTGGTTTAGTCCAGGTCTATTCCAGGATGAATCACAATTTTAATGTCTATGCAAATGCGCACCCTTAGCCACCTGCCTTAATATATAAAATAAAGGTAATACAGTGACGAATGTAGGCCTATTCATATTTTTCTTATGGGACTGTTGGCCTATTTGCCTATATACGTTTCATTAAATTTGTGAAATCGTATTTGAGAAAGAAAGCATAAATCCTCATAGTTTTTTTTTTTTTTTCCGGAATTGCGCACTTTGCAGTCTTCTGGTGCACCGGCATAGTAGACTACCTGACTGCATAGTTTTAGCACTCATTGTAACTGATCTATATTTTACATGTTGCTGTCATGGGGAGCAGAGGAAAGATGTTGTCAGGGCTGTTGGCTGCTTGCTTACACTGCTTGCTGAGTTGCCATGGAGACGTTGTGGGACTCAATGATTTCAAAGTGCGAGCCTGATGAAGCCTGAATACAGATGAAAAGAGACGACACAAAAGCAAATGTTGAATTCATTTCAATGTAGAAGTAATTGACAATATTATTTTTGGCACAGTGACCTATTTATTGTGTAGGCTGCCGTGTGGTGTTACAGTGTTGTCACGACACTAAAACTTCAAAGTCGATTTCAGAACCGAATCTTTATTTAGACAACAACATGTAATTTTATAACTCATAATACTTTCTTGTATTTAACCATGTGCTCTTATATCTGTGAGTTTTCCAGGTATATTTGATCTTATACTAGTTTTGATACAGCTCAAGATCACTCATTCATTATTTAGGAAAGGTTCATTTTTGGTATCATTTTTGTCCTCTGAATGTGACTTTTTTAGTATCTAGTCTAGTTTCTAGTTGAGTATTAAATGAGTATCTGGATACTAGTTTTAGTATCAGTTAGTATCTGATCTTTTAAACTGTTTTGACAACTCTAGGCTGCAGTTTATTTGCCGTAGTGAAGAACATTTTATTATTTAGTGGAAGTTGGTTTAATTAGGTTAGGTTGCTTTATTCGTACCCGTAGGTAATTTGTTTTGCAGATTTGAGAGGCAGGTCCCACATTTCACATTTCATTCATTCACATTATGTGCAATAAACAAGTATGCAAAACATAATAACAAAATAAGGTGTTACAGTACTCCAGTGCAGAATGGTTTGTTCCATAAATGGTTAGTTAAATTCATCGATCACGTTTGGCTAAAATCACCATAAATATTAAATATATAAAAACACAATTTTCCAGGACAAGCGTACTAAAATCAATAGATAAATAGATTACAATTTATTCATTACAGTATGGTTAGAAAAACAATTCTTCCTTTTGAATCAATGAAATAAAGCAGTTTTCAGTCTTATTCAGATTACTGGTGTGAAATAATATTTCACTGTTAATAATTTGTTGCTGTTAGGCTTATGTCAAAACTAAACATAGGCCTACTTTATCAACACTGTCAAATGAAATGGTGAACTATAGTCTTCCATCTACAGTTTTTGTAAGTTATTGTATTATATTGATGGGCCTATACACTTTGTCTCACAGGTCATCTCAGTATTTTTCTGTTTACCGTGAATGGAAAACTAAACCAGGTCTAAACATGGGCTAAACCAGGACCTGAACAAACTCAAGGCTCAGGTAGTAGAGTGGTCATCTTGCTTCCTAATTAGAAGGATTTTAGCTCAATCCAAAACAATATTAACCTATTGTTATGTCTTTGTTAAAACACTTATGATTGTGGAGTAAAAGAATAATGCAATGTGAACCAACTTTGAAGCAATAGGTGTATTAAGTGAGTTCTGGTGTTTACTGTTTGGTTAAAGATGCATTGTGTAAGTTTTTCAGAGGAAGATGTTGACACGGAAATGTTATTGTGTTGTCTGAAAGGTTCCACAGTATGGCACTAAATTGATCAAGCTTGTATTTTACAGGCATTTTTATTACTCAGGAATATTTTCAAAAACATGTATTCTTCATACGTTTATTGCCATATCCAGGAACATTCTAGATAGTGCAATAACATCTCCATGGTGACAAGCTTGTGGGAGAATGTCCACTAGAAATGTTACATAGTGCACTCTTAGCCCAACCAGGTCAGTAACAAATCTAAACCATGTGTAAAAGACAAAACCTGTCTTCTGAACCTGTGTATTTTGGCAGTTGTCTGTTTTTGACATGTATTGTGCTCCCCGCCCCCTGCAGACAGAGCGTTTCCATGGAGACAGGAGCGTCCCTCGGCCTGAAAAGACGATATGAAGAGGTGGACCAGGGCTCTCCATTTTCGCTCACGCCAAAGGACTCAGACGATGACATCTCCAGCAGTGACAGTGCAGACAGCTGCGATAGCCTCAACCCCCCATCCAGTTCATTCACACGTAAGGGACTGAACTAATTCAACAAAACCAATGGCACGTTTTTAATAGGTTATGGGATGTGTTTTAATATGTTGTAGTTAAAAATTTAGATGTTAAAATGTTATGTTTTCTGTAGCCTAATATCTGTGTAATAACCTTATGGCAGAAAGAATGGCATTAGCATAGAGGGCCGCACAATATATCAATCGAATCAAAATACAACTTTGACTGCAGTTATTTAGATTAGTTATTAGATTAGTTATTTATTTAGTTATTGTAAATTCGCTGAAAAAACAAACAAAAAAACAAAAACAAAACAAAAAAAAACTGTTCTGTCTAGAAAAATACTGTCACACTTTTAAACCTCTACAAACATGCTCTGACATTCATGAGATTCCTGTATTAGTTCTTATTTCAGAAAACACTGTAGTTAGAAAAATTGCAGTTAGATTTGTTTCAAAATTGTTGCAGCCCCCAGAACCAGTGATTTTCAAATGTAGTTTCATTTTTTTCATTTGGCATAATTGACAATAAACAGTTCAATGTTATTAGCAATGTAATATATAAAAAATAATAAATACTACACTAATTACAAGAAAATAAGCGATGAAAACTCTTGGAAATGGAGCATTTAAATATGATCAAAAAATGTATTTATTCACCCAAACCACAAAATTTGTTTATCAACAGATTATTTACCTTGCCCCATCTCAGTTTAATACTATTGGTGAATTGTATATGCACATTATAATTATGAATAACCTGTTCTTCTTCCTGCCATCAGCCACGTCCATTCTCAGACGACACAAACCCTCTCTGGGGGGTAAGAGAGTGCGCTTCGATGTGGTGACGGTGTATTACTTCCCCCGGAGGCAGGGCTTCACCAGCGTGCCCAGTCAGGGGGGCAGTTCTCTGGGCATGGCTCGGCACCACTGCTCCATCAGACACTACACTCTAGGGGAGTTTGCCAGAGAGCAGGAGTCCAGCCACAGACACACACTCCGACAGCACCTCAGACAGGAGAAGCTCAATGCACGCAAGATGAAGGTAATTACATAAAACAACAACTTACCTGCATACTTTTGTTACTTGCTGGTTAATATACATTTACTTTTGAACCCCTGTGTCTTATATTAATGAACATAATCCATCATTCTCAATCGGTTTCCTTTATACAGTGACCAAAGTTCTTTCCAAATAAAATTAAAATAATATAAAATCATACTAAACATTTAAGAGTGACATAATAAAACAAACTGTCACTGCTTTACTGGTTGTGAAAAGCCAATATGAATGAATATGTTTAAGCTTAGGCATTTTGAAAACAAAATGTACCTGTTGTTCATACTGTACAGAACTCACTGGCCTGTGTTTTTTACTTTCCCCTTTAGGATATATTTTGAAATGTATGTGAGTTAATTCATAAACTAAAACATTTCCTTTAGAAATTCTCAACCTTTTCAACATAATAAAAATCTGACATGTGTCACTGACTAAGGACAAGAGGGTGATTTGTTTGTACTATTGCGCAGTGTGTTGACATAGATCTTGGTAGGGTAGTAGGGCAATGTGTCATCACATTATAATATGCTATGTGTTAATTCATGCATATATGTGAGTTGGGTATACTATAATAAAATGTATGATGGAAATAACCATAATACACCTCAAAACACATAGACTGTTTAATTTTAAATTTCTTCCCGTGTGATTGATGTGTACTAAAAAACCTTTTGAGGCAGTACCTCTGGCCCAGGGGGCCCCAGGCCCTTTTGAGAGCCACTGTCCTAGGGGATACATAGAATCTTAAAAGTTGGGAACCACTGCTGTAAACATAACATTAGCCTCATATGTAACTCTCCTCCACAGCTGACGCGTAACGGCACAGTGGAGTGTGCCCAGGCGGAGCTCCTGACGCTGGATGATGTTTCTGATGAGGACTTGGACGTGGATGGTCTGGAAGTGGACGACTGCTTTTTTCTCCAGCCTCTGCCCACGAAGAGACGCCGGGCACTGCTCAGAGCCTCGGGCATCAACCGCATCGATGCCCGTGAGAAGGCCGAGCTGCGCGCCCTCCGCCTGTCCAGAGAGGAGTGTGGGTGTGACTGCCGCCTCTACTGTGACCCCAGACACTGTGGGTGCAGCCAGGCAGGGATCAAGTGCCAGGTATGTGGGCTGGGCTGCACATACACTGTGGAGGTTTTGTTATTGAAATGTCAGACGATGCATAATCAATTTAGTAAACTACGTATGATTGAAATTACAACTAGCTTTTTTAATTTATTAATTAATTTATTATTTATTTGAATAGGGACAGACAGATACAACAAACATAGATTAACAATGAAGTAATCTGATACAGGTATTTCAGTGTTATTGCCTAGGCTAATTTGCAACACCAGTGCTTTTAAACAGTTCAGATTTCACCAAAAAGAAATGGAATTATTTGTAGAAAAAGCTATAAATACACAGATATTGTCTTTGGCTACACTCCTGCATAATGACACAAATATATTCCAATAACAGTAACTTCTTCTTTCTGAAATTAATAATGTTTTTTAACATATGGTTTAGTCATCATTATCTATCTAAACAATAATAAACATGAAAACAAAACACAAAAAATCATTATCTTTCTAATATAGTTTGGACAAAGCCATTTCTGGTTTATCTCTGATTTAGTTTGCAAAAAACAGTCACATTTTTTAATGAATACTGAACTGCTAGTAGTAGTAGGAGTTGTTTTATCATACAATATGACTCAGCTTTTGTGGTTTTCTAATTTTTAATATTTACACATGATAACAGAGAACCGTTGTTGGGGAAGATCTCCTGTTATGGTATTTCACTTCATGTCCAGAAGTAGTCTATGGTAGAAAAGGTGTCAAATGTAGTCATCTGGACAATGTTTTGATCTTGAATATCTTGCTTTGAACAGAAATTGTGGATAAAGAAACAACTTGCCATCATTTTTTTTACAATTACCCTTTCAAAATCTGGTCAAAACCTCGAGATAAGATAAGATAAACTTTATTGTTCCAAAGGGTAATTTGTCTCAAATATGGTTACACTCAAGTGTACCTTTGTTGTACAGAATTGTTGAAGAGTGCAAAAGAAGTGGGCACAAATGAGAGTTTATATCTGTTACTCTTAAAGTGATGTGCTCGATAGCTCTCCTGCCTGCCTAATGGAAGAGTTTCATATTCCCCATGGTGAGAGGAGTTCCCAACAATCCGTCTGGCCTGAGCGAGCACAGAGCTTTGAAAAATGTCCTGCAGAGAAGGAAGCTCTTTCTTGCCAATCACCTTCATGGCCTTATGTACCAGATTTTCAAGTTTAGTTTTACATTGAACAGTTAAAAAGCCGAACTAGGTGACCATACTGTAGCATATCTGACTCTCCAAAACAGCATTATAAAAACACAAAAAACATGATTTTTGTGCTCACACTAAACAGCATCAGTTTCCTTAAAAAGTGTAGCCTCTGGGACAGCTTGTAACAAAGAAAATCAACATGTACATCCTATTTAAACAAATTTGCAATGTACACACCCAAAGCCAGTCAAATGGTAATCAGGTACTTAACATGTGAAGGAGAGGCTGGCAGACCACAACACTTAACAAAACAAAGGCACTTTATCAACTCAATAGTATTAATTCCATCTCTCTCTTCCTCAGGTGGACCGCATGTCTTTCCCGTGTGGTTGCTCCAGAGACGGTTGTGGAAACATGGCTGGTCGGATTGAGTTTAACCCCCTCCGAGTCCGCACTCACTACCTACACACCATCATGAAACTAGACTCAGAACGAAGGAAAATACACCTTCACGCATCTGAAGACCACTTTTCCCAATCCCAACTCACCCTCACCCCTCTCCGCCCCGTCTCTCCGGACCAGTGCTCTTCTATGTCAAGCGCGGACAGTGAACTACAACAACTGGAAGTCGAGGAAGCGGTAGAAATTCAAGATGTTTTAAATGAGCGTGACATATTGGAGAGAGAGAACGAAACGGCAGTGCTTCATCTGCAAAGCGCCGAGGAGCAGGAGAGGAGGAAGAGAGAGGAGCTAGAGGGCGCAATAGAGCAGGAATTAACGAGACAAGCAGAGGTAGCATCCATGGAGGAAGTGCTATTGCAAGGTCCTTTTCCTACCGGAGCTACTGTCCTCTGCATCTCCGAAAACCAAGAAGAAACGCCATTTAACAAGGAAGAATTGCTGTACTACCAACTTAGTCCTATAGAGGCAGGTGCGTTCGAGACCCTACCCCAAGAAGAGGAGGGGTGCGTACTCGCGGGGCAAAACTTGGGGCAGATTCAACAAGAAGAGGTAAAAACAAGCGAGGAGGTGAATTCCTGTGAAAGTATGATTAGCACAAAGCAGGAGATAGAAGAGCTTAAATGTGTTGAGAATTGTAGACCACCAAGTCCCCAGCATAGCCCACCTATAAACCAGTGCCAAGATCATACCCGCTTGGATCAAGAAGTTTACTAGCATTTCAGCATATGTTTGCACAATAGCTTAATCTATGATGAATTAATGTCACATTTACAACATTCATTACAGCTTCGAATAATAGGCTGCGATCTCCATAGTCCATCCATCCATTTTCTTCCTCTTTATCTGCAGTCTGAGCAGAGAGGCCCAGACTTCCCTTTCCATGCACAATCCCTCCAGCTCTTCCGGGGGGATCCCGAGGCATTCCCAGGCCAGCCCAGAGATGTAGTCCCTCCAGTGTGTCCTGGGTCTTCCCCGGTGCCTCCTCCCGATGGGACGTGCCTGGAACAGTGGAATATATTACCTAACATGCATGCATGGACAAAACAGCAGCATCCGTTGTTATTTTGTTCATGTTAAATAATTCAGCCTTATTATTTGAAAAAGAGATTAATTTATAAAGAAAAAGCAAAAAAAAAGTGGAAATCCATTTGAACTTGAATGCTGACACAAACCTTTCTTCGAGAGATGAAAATAACTCTACACAAACTGTCTCATTCCCGTTCAAACATATGGCGGCTGTTGTCGAACCAAATCAAGTGAAAGTACCCTCCGCTGAACATAGACCTTATAATCCTGGAAATACTTGTTTTTCGTGTACTGTATTCGCATTATGTGAGACTGACCAATGTGTTTTTTATTTTATTTGTGTATGCACATCGAGAAGAGAGGACTGGTGCGGCTCTACTGGGCTGAAATAGGGCTGCAAGATATTCAACAGCTATAGTTGAATTGTGCTATCACTTTTGCATTATTTTATTTCTGACGCAGTAAGTTCACCCAATCTAAAAATGTAAATAAGTTTGATTACTAATTACGCTGTGTGAAGTCAGACCTTACCATTAACCAAACCATGGCTAAAACTTAAACTGTTACACTGTTGAACTTTTTATCCCTTCTTACAGTAGATCTACTCTACTGCAGTTAACAAGCAGCTTTTTTTTTTTTTTACAAAGTTGAAAGAAAAAAAGTTGTTTGGGAGGTGCATTGTGAACTATAGTAACTCAGTAGAAAAGAAATATAATTGCAGGTAACACTGCTATAGGTATTTTTGTGGTAACTTGCTGGTAAATAACAGCAAGAACAAGAACAGCATACATTACATTTTAATGCCTCTATATAGGTTTAAAAATGGTCTGATGGACTGAATAACTTAACAATGAGAATGAAGTTTCTTCTAATATCATCATTGCATTAGATGACAATATTAAGAATATTTTTTGTGATATATTTTGCAGCCCTATCCTCTAAATGAGGAGCAGTAGACTGGTTCTTGTCAATGCAGTGGTCTATCTCTGTAGTCAGAAAGGTAGTTTGTGATGGTTGCCCATGATATTATTAAGAGTAACACGTCTTTTGTGAATTAGATACTGTTACATTACATCCAGCGTTGTTACTTGGATAGAAAATGCTCTTTCAATCTCCAATGCTTTTTTATTCACTACTAATTGTGCTCAAAGAAGTAGTCATGCACAGAAATACACTAATCTGAAGAAAGACGAGTTTCAAAAGTGCTATTCGTTTCACTGAAAATGGTCCATGAAGTAATCAATTTGTATATTAATATTTAGCGGTATGCATGTGTTGAGTGAATTTTAATTATTATTATTATGGCTGAGAAAAGAGAGGGTGTATTAGAATTTGTACATGTACTGTATTAGCAATGGGAGTCAGTCATATGAAGACATACAGTGCCCTTCACTAATATTACCACCAATGAGAAAATATAGTATGTACTGTAGTGTGTCAAGGAACAGGAGACAAGATCACATCGATAATGTAGAATTTTAAAGCTCCACTGCGTAACATTTCAGTTTATAGGCTTAAATAAACAAAATATATCTTAAAGTATGTTTGTATTGCCCCAAAATACGTTGAGAAACATGCATGCATCTTGTGATAAAATAAAGGCTTTTATTTTAGTCTATTTATTCAAATAAATGTTACACAGTGGAGCTTTAAGCAATGTGAAGGAAGAATGTCTTTCTTGTTGCAAAACACTATTAGGAGGTGTAAAAATATTTATGAATTATCAATAGTGCCTGATTAGACCTGGTTTAGTCCTTCTTAGTCCAGGTTTAATCTTGTTTAGTCCGGGTTCAGTCCTGGGTTAGTCCTGGTTTAGATCTGGGCTAGTCCTGGTTTAGTCTTGGGTTAGTTCTGGTTTAGACCTGGTTTAGACCTGGTTTAATCTTGGTTTAATGCTAGATTAGTCCTGGTTTAGTCCTAGTTTAGCCCTGGTTTAGACCTGGGCTAGTCCCGGTTTAGTTCTGGTTTAGACCTGGTTTAGACCTGGTTTAATCTTGGTTTAATGCTGGATTAGTCCTGGTTTAGTCCTAGTTTAGCCCTGGTTTAGACCTGGGCTAGTCCTGGTTTAGTCCTGGTTTAGTTCTGGTTTAGACCTGGTTTAGACCTGGTTTAATCTTGGTTTAATGCTGGATTAGTCCTGGTTTAGTCCTAGTTTAGCCCTGGTTTAGACCTGGGCTAGTCCTGGTTTAGTCCTAATTTAGTTCTGGTTTATACCTGGTTTAGACCTAGTTTAATGCTGGATTAGACCTGGTTTAGTTCTGGTTAAACCCTGGTTTAATGCTTATTTAGTCCTGATTTAAACCTGGTTTCTACCTGGTTCAGCCCTGGTTAACAGCTTATTTAATGCTGATTTAGTCCTGGTTAAATCCTTGTGTAGACCTGGCGTAGAGCTGTTGTAGTCCTGCTCTAGTCCTGGTTTAGTCCTTGCGTGCCAGTATTAGCGGAGGGCTTTGTATGTTTTTCCAGATGGTGCTCTTGACTGATGGTAGAGGTGATGTAGAGACGCAATAGCTGTTGCACTGCAAATCATTTATAATAGTGACGGATGGGGTGTGTTGTCTTTGCAATCTGCTAATGTTTTAATTTGATATTCTTGTGTCTCTTGCTGCATAAGTGTGCCGACTCTGCCTACACAAACTAGTCCTCTGTGTTAGGGATGGGCAGTTAACAGAATCTGAAACATGATTGCAATAGATTGCAAAATCCATAAAAATACTGTACAAGAACATATATATTATTTAATTCTGTTTTGAATGATATTGATGGTTATTCTGCACCAGAAAAGGCAAGCCACTCTAATGTACATAAAAGAGAAAATATAATTATAGATCATAATCCTTCTTCTTTATGTTAAATTTTGACCAGTAAAAAGATAAATTAGTAACTAGGATTGTGCAATTAACCAAATTTTAACGTTCCAGTCTATTATAATAAATATATAGTTGGAAATGACGATTCAGTGATGTTCTGAGTGGTATGGGTGCTTGTATGTGTGCTAGAGCAAAGCCACTCATCTAATCTACATGAAATACAAAATCTTACTAAATATGGTCTCAAACTTGTAACTGTGATTTCAAACATGACTGAATTGTAAATAATTATGATTCTTCTTTCTGTGATTGAACAGCCCTGTTCTGTTGACCCCTTAAACGGTGGCTCTTCAGACAGAGGACATGCAGCTGTGTAGGAGATGTCTGTTGTTTTTATTTGCCTTTTTATTGTCTTAATATTAACCTGCTTGAAATTGCACCAAAGCAGTGGCCACAAACCTAATTATAAGAATCAACCATGCATTAAGCAGACCATTAAGTAGCTCTGTTGTAATTATAAAGCAGCAGATGTATTGTGCACTGCAAAAAGAGTAGGTGTGACTATCAGATTTATTCTTTCCATTATTGTGCCTGTTTTTATTTGTATTTTTTAAGCAAGATTTTCAGCGAAACACTTCTTTATAAATAATTAAAAGTGCAATTTTAATTTCTCCCTTGCCTACAATTTTGCTATGAGTAAAAAATCAGCAACACTTGGTAAACACTCAAAATTGTAGTCATTTATCTCATTTTTTTTGCAGTGCACAAAGAAAATCATTACGTAGTGGCCTGCTGTAATTATAATGCAGAAATGTATTGTATAATTGGCCATTGTATTCACTGCCTGTTGTGATGCTTTTGTCTTTTTCATCTGTCGTCAAATTTAGGTTTGTGGCCACTGCCGTAAATGAACTTCACTTTTTTGATCGTGTGAATGGGTGAGTGAGTGATAGTGTTAACACAATGTAAGGCTGTGAGAGGTGTTCTCATGCTAACTGTTGCCTAAAGTGGAAAAGTTTTTATACCAACATTAAAAACATTAAAACACACAACAACAATGTCCCGCTGTTATTTTTAAATTAGAAGTTGCACTGTGTAATTGGATGGAATCTGGTTGTCTCCGAGGAATGTTTCACAGTATGGCATTACATTATCTAACACCGTGGAGATAAGTAGGTGATACCACGAGGCCAAGTTAGATCAGTGGAGAGGAGTTATAAGATTATTCAAATTAAATCTAAAAAGCAAAAGCAAAATCATTTGTTTTTTTTGTTTTTGTTTTTTTCAGATCATGGTCCCCCTGATTACTCACATACAATTTTGCAATTTACATGCTGCAAAATTTAAGGTCAAAGGTCCAGAAATCAGATTATAATCAGATTTGAAGTCCATGTGAACAAGGTCAGTGTAAGAATACATGTTTTAAGGTGTTTTTATTACTCAAAAATACCCTTTATGAAATTAAAGCTAGATATGGGGGATGTAACAATAACCGAAATATCATGATATCATATCATTAAAAGTCTCACAATAATATCGTGGGCTGTCACACTATATCGAATCACAAGTTCCTTTTCTTAAATGCGTGGTTTTATAGTAGCAATAGTTTATGAGCATCAGAAACTATATATACCATGATTCATTTCAGTGCAGACAGCACAAAGAGATATGTTTTGTACTTGAATTCTAACCTAAATAAGCAGGGTTTGTATGTTAAACATGTGTGAATGGAGCAAAACACAACTCCATGTATGTTTTTGATGAAGAACCAACATTATAACATAAATAAAACAAAAGCGTAATATGGGCCTTTTAAGATTATACTGTGGAGCATTTCAGGCAAACAAGTTACAGAGACCATAGGGACAAAGCAGGGGACTTTCCACAAGAAAAGTGACAAAGTTTATTTACCTTTAAGCTTGTAATGAGTGAGTCTGTAATAACTCACTTAACTCATGAAGGTTCCATGTGACTAACTGGTACAGTTCAGCCCAAGGTCATGGGAGAGGCTGCATGACCAGGAAGTAAAGAAAAATAAACATCAAAATTAATGATTATTTTTGAAACCTTTCGAGCAGTGGGAAAGCCATCGCTCCAAAGGGCAAAGCCATCAGATTAATAACTCAGCAGGTCAGTTATTCAGCTACAGAATTATATTTTTACAGTTCAAATAAATGGCTTAAGTATAAAGGTCCAGAGATATATTAACCTTGTTCTGTCTGACAGTCCCTGGGTAAAACTCATAAATTATGACTGAAAGGAAGGGCATCTGGCTTTAAAATTTCAAAATGTGTACCTTGAAGAGATAATGAGAAAAAAAGATAAATAATGCTGGTTTATGTTGTCGTATTTTACTATTTTTAGAGGTCCTTCGGCATGTGGAGATTGACCTACTAGCCTAGATTGTTCAAGTCATTATAGAAGAACAAAAGTGCAACACACACATTTGCCACTAGATGTCAGTATAGCACCTAAAACAGTCTCTCCTTGACATAAATGTGTCCTCAACATATGTTCTTGAGGTACATCTTCATTCAGTTCAATACATTTTTGTAGATCCACAAATCACCACAGCAGCCATCTCACAGGGTTTAACAAAACTGTTAATTTAACCAACATGAATTTAGAAAACCATTATATAGGTACATTGTAATTTTTCTAGTAGCGGGGCACCTGTGTATCTCCATTGAGATGGTATTACTTTTCCTGGAATGTTCCAGTTTGGCAGGAAACATATCTATCTTTATTTTTCAAAAATACACTGAAAAACAAACTGCTGTGGGCAGATCTGTCCTGAAGCAAACACATACCAAGTGCCAAAACATACCAAATTACCTTACCTTAATTCAGCAGGTATGTGACAGATAAACAATTATGATTTGATTAATTCTTCATGCACTCCATCTTATTTCAGGTTTACAATAGACTCTTTATAAATTCTGAAATGAAGAAAACTGGAGGCAAAAGTGAAGAGGAGCATAATATGATTTCAATGATGAAATCTATACTAACTTCAGAATATCACAAAATATGAATCAAGGTACATTTGGCAAATGAAAACCACTCACATAATTGTGTTTTATGTTATTTGTTAACTTGATTTTAATAGAGCATAAGCATTTTTGACACAGGAAAATCTAGATTTTTTTTGTTTTTCTGGACAGACCATTACAGAAAAGTTGAGCCCACAACAGTTTGCCACTTCATCTACAGATATATTACACGTTTCATCATAAATTGTTCTTTTTGTAAAGCTCAAATACAATTTTTAAGCAAATTAACTAATATTTGTACCTTGGACATTCTAAATTGTTGTTTATTTTTTGTTATAATGTTGTAAATTCCTTAGTCTTTAGACCTGTTAATCAGTTAAAATATATATATAAAATATACTACGTCTGCTTCACTCTGCCCCCAGCGGCCTCCTTTCCAGAATTTTGAACATTCATACAGGATTTTAAAGAGTCAATAAATGTACACCCTTTATTGTCCCTGTAATCAAATACATCCTCTGCCATTGACTCATTCTTCAAACAGAGCCACTGGGGTTAAACCTGTTAGAAACAGTAGGCGACCAGTCACCCTGGGACCCATCTCCAGATCTTGTTGAGGACTACCTACTTTAGCCTGAACTGCACATGTTTTCACTTATATTCCTCATATTATTGGACAAGTGTCATATTGAGACAAAGGCGCTGTTGTAAATATTGTTTTGTTTGTTCACCATGGTGACTCAAACTGCTCCTCCGAGGGTCCTGACTGTTCCCTGATTGTAAAAGTGAAAATATTTTTCTTTCTTCTTTTGTGAATTGTAGGAAGCTGATGTTCAGTGAAACATTGTCCACTGCACGGCTCCCCTGTGTCTACTTATTCCTCCAACAGGTTTGCCAAGATAACTGCGTGGTGTTTGCCTTACCTAGATACCTCATTTTAGTTCATTATCTAATCTAGTGACTATTTTCCAGGCTTTCCTACAATTATCTTGGAAAATTGCTTATCTTATATACCTTTTTATAAGAATATGTTTAGAATTTACCTAAGATGAACTGCACAATGAAGTAAACAAGCATTAATGTTAAATATGTATAAATTATAATATGCAAAATCCAGCTTTTATTCATATTGTAATGCTGTTACCTCCTCAGAAACATAGCTGGAATTGTGTTTTGTTTCATTCACACATGTTTGAGTAATCTTTTATTATTAGACGGTGTACATCTCCAAAGTTCAAAATGCTCTGTTCCACCTTGTGATGTCATGAAGCGTTTGTTTTCAAGTTAACAGCTACCTTTTACTTTCTGTTCAGTAGAGATTGCCAGTTCTAAAGCTGAAATTATCCAATTGATTCTAGTGAAAGTGTGGAGTTTAAAAACACAGTGGAGCACTTCCTGTATTAGAACATGAGAGAAGAGTTTGAGAAGAGAACTCAGACTAAATATGCTGGGCTTTGTGAATGAAACTAAACACAACTCCAGGTTTGTTTTTTGATAGGGAAACAACATTTTAAATGATATCTGAAAATAGTGTAAGATGGACCCTTTAAATATTTTTTCAAATTTATATATCGCTTTTCTAAACATAATCAGATAATTAGACAAATATAGACATAATTATAAGGCTTCACCAGAGCAGCTGTGTCTACTAAAAGCCCAGTACCACAGAGCAGTAAATGAATGACTAATGGACTAAAGAGAGGGAAATGTTAATCAAGATAGAGAGTCAGTCATTTCTCGTCAATAATCAACTTAAATCTTTTAAAAGCTTGGGTCAGTAAAAACATGTGTTTTGGAGCAGAGTTCCCAGACTCTGTTGGAAGAAGTTAGACTGTATTTTGTGATAAATGGCACTGGTTGAAAGTCTGTATGCTATTGTTTATGTTCAGGAAATTTGATTAAAATCCATAGTTTTATTAATTAATACGACTAAATAAAATTGAATGAAAATTTCAGCTACAAACTTCAGAACTACAACCCTGAACTAAACGGTTTTAAAGGTGCATTATGTAACTTTTCGGTTGAGGTCCGTCACCTTTTTGTTTCTTTTTGCTCTGAATTGAATGTTCCACAATATGACATTAAACAGCTCTACCTTAAATTTATTCAATTGAAAGTGGTTTTACTGCTCAAAAATAACAGGCATTCTGATTGTGAGCGGGGTCGCCTCTCCACAGATCTGACCTGTAAATTGGCTGGTTTGGAGTCCATGATGATAGAAAGGTTTAATGCCATACTGTGACACATTTCAGACAAAGCAACAACATCTCCATGTAGAAAAACAGGTGGTGCACCTTTCACTAGAAAAGTTACATAATGCACATTTAAGAAATTATTATTTAGTATAATTGACACGTTTTACATAAGCCTATAACAACCACTTAACATACTGACTATTTTTGGAATCAGAAACTCCCAGTCCAAGCCAACAGAGCTTTCCATAATCAGTGCAACCTTTCTGTTCTGTACATTCTATTGTTTTACATCAATGCCCGGAAAATGTAGCCCAGCTGATAGTCTAAAGAGCTGGTGACGGAGCAGTGTACAAATACCACAGTTATTTTAAAAACACATCCTAATTATCCAAAGAACAAATGCTTTCCTTTTTAACATGCCAATGAAAGTGCCAATGACAGATGTGTCCTGCTGTTTGTACCAGCAGTGACTGGGCTGGCATTAGAATGAAGTATTGTGCCAACTGATAGTGTGCCCACAAGGAACTTAGATTAACAATGTGCTTGCAAAATCTGAATGGGTGATTTAAAAAAAAGAAAAACAGCTTCACTCTCATGACAAAGATGTTTGAAAGACATTATGTAAAATTGACTGAGCTTTTAATCTGCTCTAGCCTGATTGTCTCCTCGCAGCACTAGGACTGGTTCACTTGACGGTAGGCGGGAACTTTTTTTATTTAACCAATCGCTGCTATTTGGTCATGATGTATGTAATGCTCCAACTCAAATAGGAAGAAGGACAATAATGTCTTTCCCCTTGATAAAATTCACCAAACATTCTCTTTGTTCCGGCTTTAAATCCTCGATCTCTGGAATCGTTGCCAACACAGAATGTATCACAGAATGTATAATCTACATCCATCTCGACCGCTTTGTTTACTCTTGTGCTGTACCACTAAAGGGACACAGACAGGTGCTTGAGTTTGATGTCATGGCTTCACAGCTCTTCACTGATTGGC